TATTTAACTTACTATTTCTCTCCGGTCTTATACAAAGTCATCCACTTAGCCGATACAGCTACGGTCTCGTGTCTTGCAGCGTCGGTGTTCGATCCCCCGATGGTCCAGATGTTTGGGCACCGTTCCTTCAGTCCGTTCTCATATCTCAGCTCTTTGTCCTCAAATCCCAGCTACTTGTCATAGTCCAGCTCCTACACCTATCTCAGCTCCTTCTCCCTCATATCCCAGCTCCTTATCGTCATATCCTGAATCCTTGAATCCATATTCTCATATCCCAGCTCCTTGTCCTCATACCGCAGCTCTTAGTCTATCTCCTATCAATTTTAAGTGCTATATAGTCACAATGGCTTAGCGCTTTCTCTTGATAACTACCTCACCTCTTGGACATAGGCGACTGGGGCTCACTGTTACCTCAATGGTCCTCAACCTTGACGTGTTGATGACTGCAAATATGTAACACATACAGTTCAACCCCTCCTCTTTATATACTACTTTTTGTAACTATGGGACCATCGTACATACATAGACGTAATGGACAATTAGAACTTTAGCACTATTTACTTTATAGAGTCCGGAAAAAAATTAGCTAAAAAACATACTTAAATATTCCTAAGCCTAGTATAGCACATATGTATTATATTAGGCCTCAGATAGCATGTATTAGGCCTAGGAAAATTTGGTTTTCTTTGCAACATCAGTACAAAACCTTTTCCGGTTTGTCCAAATTCAGGTACCACCGATTTTTACTTTCTAGTTGCCTTATACGCCACTGTATGTACGACGGCCCTCGTCGGTACTAGAAGTGCTGCCCTAAACACCAGGATGGGCTGGCATAAACACCAGGATGGGCTGGCATAAACACCAGGATGGGCTGGCATAAACACCAGGATGGGCTGGCATAAACACCAGGATGGGCTGGCATAAACACCAGGATGGGCTGGCATAAACACCAGGATGGGCTGGCATAAACACCAGGATGGGCTGGCATAAACACCAGGATGGGCTGGCATAAACACCAGGATGGGCTGGCATAAACACCAGGATGGGCTGGCATAAACATGGTGCAGACCTTTGGAGCTCTGGTTATTGGAGGCAATCATTAAAGCATTTGATATGCAGCTAACTAAATGTTTTATATGCTACATTGACTTAGGCGCTAATAGTTAGGTTTGTGTACATATGATTCTCGTTGTCGGGTGAAGTTTGTATTTATGCTTATATGGAGATCTTCCTCCTACGTCGAACTATTGACCTTCTCAGGATGTGTGTGCATGTATGCGCGCATGTGTGTGTGCACGTGTGTAATTACCTAGTTGTGCATGCGCGGGTTGAGCTTTGGCTCTTTGGTCATATATACAAATGTGTGTGTGTGTGTGTGTGTGTGTACGTGCGTACATATTTGTGAATGTATAGCATTAGATTTTAGAAACAAATTACGAAAATTGTAGAAGCGAGCAAGAAAAGTGTGTGTAGCCCGGTGACCTCCAGCGGTGGTGGTGTGGGCGCCGCCCGGCCCACCACACACACCACACTAATCTATTCATCGACCAAACCACGCGCTTATCTCTCTCTCTACATATCTATATCTGTTTACTTACTAATAACTTGCACACACGATGACAAGCAGCATTTAATATCTGTACAGGACAGAAACGGTTTGGCACATTTTCTTTGGCCTGATGTGTCTGTTCACTTAATGGTAACATAGGTACCAGACAGCCAACTGTTTTGGATTGCTTAGGGAAGTCAGTAGTTGACCTGGGGGAACTTGGCAGAAGTACAGGCTTACTGTCCCCGACAATGAGAATTATACCTCAATGTAAAATATATATACCACTATTACAGTCACTCATTAATAGAAATACTCACATTTCCTTTCACAGAATCAGCAGTATTTCGTCAGTTGGGGCAGGTCTAAGACCTCAGGAGAGTTTCACCATCATTGCTACGCTAAGTTAATCCAACCCAACTAATCCTAACAAACCCTAAACTAACATAACCAAAATATTTGTTTTGGTTATGTTAGTTTATATGCACTATAAAACAAAATATACAGCTTTGTTTTATATAGTTGGTAACCGTAAGGTTACATAAGTTACTCTGCCAGAAACGCTATGAAAGCTAGTGGATTTACAAGAATGTAAAAATCGCAATCTTACATAATCTCGCCAATCCATTGCACCGTCTTGTGAATAAGTTATTATTATTATTATTATTATTATTATTATTATTACAGTGGTACATCCATTTAGGAATTTAATCCGTTCCCAGAGACGGGTAGTAACTCGAAAATTCGTAACTCGAAAATAATTTTCCCATAAGAAATAATGTAAATTGAATTAATCCATTCCACATTTCCAAAAAATATTAACTTCAAAATACATTTCATACATATTGCACACAAATATTTTGTACTACAGTATGTACAAGTTATAGCTTACCTTTATTGATGACTCTTGTTGGCGTATGGCAGATGGTGAGAAGGAGAGGTGTTAGTGTTTGGAAGGGGAGTCGCCTTCCATTATAACATCAGGCAGTGATGACTTCTCTGGGGTACTCTCTCTCCTACATTTTGCAGGCATACCACTAGGACCTGATTGTGGCTCACTGCTTGCTTGTCTAAGAATCTGTCTAAAGACAGTTGTTTTCCCTACATTTTAGCACTTGTCTGTAGTGAGACATCACATTGTCATAAAAAAGATCATTGCAATGGCCTGCTACAGCTTTATCTGGGTGTGTTCATCACCCCAAAGTCCTGGATTGGAGAACTACCTTCAGCGATCAGGGTGTTTGTGGGTGGAATAGAATTGAACTATCAAAGGAAAGTGCCATGAGCTATTTTTTGCAGTTCTTCCCATACTTCCCACATTTTTTTTAATAAGAGACATCCATTACTGCCTCTACTCACAACTATTTTCTTAGGTTGAATCTTACCACTGACTTTCTTGGGACCCATGGCGTGATATATAATAATTAATTTTATGTTCAAAAAACAAAAAAAGCACAAAAACAATATAATTCTTTACAAAGAATTCATTCAAGTGCGATCGTCACTAAGCAGGTGGTCTGGTAAACTGAAGCGGTCGCCGGTGCCACCAGGAACCATGTTCTCCGTCAACCCATACGTATATCAACAAAGTCACAAGTTGAGTCAAATTTTCCAATGAAATTGGGGTAGTAACTCAAAAAATTCGTAAGTAGGGGCATTTGTAAGTCGAGGTTCCACTGCATAGGTATGTGACATCATAATTTTAATTCCGGCAGAGACAGCTAAGGGAATATCATAGACATATAATTTCAGTTGGATCTAAAACCTGTACCAGCATGAACATTATTACATCACAGTGATGTCACACACCTCCATGAGTGATACGTATTTAAAACCTTTTGAATATCCGCAACACAGTGATGCGTAGTCTTTCCGTCTTGGTGCCTTTTGATAATTATCGTACTTGCATCTCGTCCACATCATTTATAAAACACAAAGTTTTATCTTTTATTTTGGTTAGCTTAGGATACGATAGGTTGAACTGGGTTGGGTTTGTTTTAAAAGATTAGCAATGACATAGAAGGGTGTATAATTTTCTCAGGTTTTACATCCGACTCCATGAGTTAGGAATATGTATATATACCCTTGTGACATTGGTGCCATAGGATATACTGTACTGTACTTTGCTTGGCTCTTACCTGTTGGCCAGAAAAGCAGCTTCATAAGTTACTCTACTGCCCTTTGGGTTAGTACAACATGCATACCAAAGCAAGACTGTTTTGAGGCTTCTTTAAAAAATGTGCACTGCAATATTATATAAAGTACTTAAATTTTCATACACCTAAACCACAGATTTAAATAAAATTAAAACAGGTATTTTACTCATAAAAATATATGGATCATGATTCTCATGTAAAACTTTATTTACTTATTCATGGAAAGCTTTAAACACCTAAAATTACAATAAACTAAAACATTTGCATTAATATTTATTTTAGGATTATAAAGAACATTTCAAAATACCTGGAATGTTATGTTCTAATATTTGGCATAATTATTTGGACAATGTTACATGTACACTACTCTCTCACAAAGAAGTTGCCAAATATCTAGCAAATGCTGCAGGAGCCCCAGATGTCAACATGCCATACAAGATCATTTTTGTACCGAAACCAAAATTCACATTCCTGGAAATATAGTTCTCACTCCCAGAAATTTAGCTAATACTTTGTCCTAAAGCGTTTCCTATTTTGACACATTCTACGTCACACACTAATACTTAAAAATCACTAATTTCTGGTAGTTTCCATAATATGAATCATAGGTCATCCACAAATTATTTTACAAGAGCTCACAAATTATGTTTGCGAGATGTTATACATGTTAATTCGGATTTACATGATATGATCCTGAGGTTTCACGTCAGTTCTGCTCTATGTGACATATGGACACCAGTCACATCAGCCAAGAACTGGGGTGATGGGCCGCCGGCTCACCTGAGCGGGCTTCCCCTCCCCATTTTCGAGGGGGATGGGGTACTAATGAGTGGATGCGCTAGTTGGATGACGATTTGCTTGTTTGTTTTATTTGGAGTGGGGCGCGGGGAAGAGTTTTTTGGCTCTGTTCGGACATAGGCAAAACAATACAAACCCCCAACTGGAAAAAATTGCAACCTATCTTTCTGGGTGCCCTCCTCGGTTAATGGCAGACATGACATACTTTAAATATAGGGCTCGTAATGGATATTGCTCCCTGAGCCCCTCTGAGTGGACCAGGTTCTGCCTCTGGGGCCAGATTCACGAAGCAGTTACCCAAGCACTTTCGAACCTGTACATCTTTTCTCAATCTTTGGTGGCTTTGTTTACAATTATTAAACAGCTAATGAGCTCAGAAGCACCAGGAGACTGTTTATAACAATAACAACAGTTGATTGGGAAGTTTTCATCCTTGTAAACTGTATAATAAATGTAATCAAAGCCGACAAAGATTGAGGAAAGATGTACACGTTTGAAAGTACTTGCGTAACTGCTTCGTGAATCTGGTCCCTGGTCTCCGGTTGGCATGCAGAACTCCTGTGACTGATGACCCCAAACTAATGTGGCACATGTCAGTTTGGATAGCTTCAGGGAGCCGACTGGGCTCCCAGCAGAAACAGTATGTTTTATCATCCAATGAATATAATATTGTGCACATATTAGTGATGGATGTATTTGTGTGTATCAATGTTCTGCACATTTTATTATAGAAATACTGTATCTCAAATTACAAACTATTGCATAATATACCTGCAAAAAAAAAAAAAAAAAAAAAAAAAAAATCAGTGACATTGAAAAAATCAGTATAAAATATTGGTGGCAACAGCCGCCGTGCACCTGGCCCGGGTGACCTACACAGTGCATCTTCTCCATCAGCGCCTGTGAATCAGTGATGTCACCACGAGATTTCCTGTCTATCCGAGTCAAGGTAAGCTACATAACAAATTTTCTGTAACATTCCCATGATCAGGAAATGCATATAAATATTAGAAAGAACAATTTTTTTTTATTTTTTTCAGGCACACCATAGAGTTGTCACATGAAACAAATGTGCAGTGCAAGGGTTAATAGTGGACTCCTCTTGCAGGCGCTACACTTTATATTATGTTCTATACTTTTCATTCAGTTTTCACTTCATTTCATTCTCTCAGTTCTAAAAAATAATTTTTCTGTAATATATATTACAAAAGGTTTTATATTTCTGCATATCTTTGGTTTCACTATTAATCATTAATTTACCTGCTAAACCTTACATCTATCCTTTTGGTTTTGTATGTACGTACACAATATAACTGTCAGTCTTGTTTCCTTCTATGCACACAGCTTCATGGTACCCACTCATCAGAATCTGTGTGATCACTCTCATTACTTGTATTATTAGTAGCTGTCCTCTTACCCCTTCTCTTATTAGTTCCTCTTCTCTCTGTGCGTCTCTCAACAACTGCAGTTCTTAAGCTCTTTCTAATGACTTTCTTTGGGATCTCATTCTGTGGCCCATCTCCCGACTCGCTCTCGTCTTCGCGGTAACTGCTGCCGGCATTATCGCACGCTCTTCTCTTCGACTTCATTCGTCTCACGTCGGTGTCGTCTTCCATCATCTCCTTGAGACGGTACACCAGGATAGTGTGTTGGCTTCCTTTGTGTGACACAATATTCAATATGTCTCTGTCCATACTGATGCTTAGTCTGTTGGTTTCAATATCTCCATCAACTTTAACAGAGAGGTTCATTTCATGAAGGAGGTCATAGGAAAGGCTGTCATAAAATGTAACCTTCAGCAACTTTGTACAGTTATGTTCCTGAAATAATATAAACATAAATAAATTTAATTTATATAGAAGACTTCTTTATATAAATTTGTCAAAACTTGCATATAAATATAAGTAAGTAATTATCAAAAGAAGGCACCAAACCGGGAAGGCTATGTACATATAAATATAAGTAGACCGTAATTTTCATGTGTAATAGGTTCGAAAATTGTATACAATATTATTTAATAAAATACAATTCTATGCAAGTAACAATGTGATAATTATAAATATTATTGAGAAGTAACTTTTGTATTTTACTTGAGTATGTGGTGATGCAGGACATCAGTAGTAAAAGAGTTGAAGTACAACTTCCTAATTACCTGAAGTTTGAAGGGAATTACATTTAATAAATTTACGAAACAAACATAATACATACACTGATAATACTATAGCTTTCTTTAAACTTTATTTAAATTTATTAATAAACTGGGGGAAAAAAAATTGGTTTTAAGCATACCGAAACATGGCTTTCTAAACTGGACATCTGGTATACTGCTTGAGCCAGAGTCCGTGTGGTCCACCCAGGAGTCTTATCACCTGCCACAGGTTTTTGTCAACCTTGTTACCCTTAATGACAAAGATCTCAGGAATAATGGGGAGACCTTTGACAAGTCACCACCTTCCTGTCCCCAATGAGGTCACTACAGATGCTGGCCCCTCAAGGCTTCTAGTCCCTCATTAAGCCCACTAGAAATGGTATCGCACACGGTAAATTCAGGTAAACTGTCTTGTCAAGGGAAGAAGGGAAGAGAGACAGTGAAAAGTATAGTTCAAGTCATCAAGTATTCATCTCACTACAATACAAGAGTGTGAACAATATCTGCAACACCCTCTGCAACTGATAATCAGAGACAAGAAATGCCAATTGTCATTCTGTAACTTATGAAAATGGGAATCAAGGTTAGTTCTTCTACCACCAGGTGGCAGCACCCATCCTCTCTAGTTGACATAAGACAAAAAATGGTGTTCTAAAACACCTGAACCTAACCAAACCAATGGATCTAAGCATAGAAAATATGAATGTTTGTGAACTGTTATGATTTAGAGTACATCATATTTTCTCCATTGGGGATTTGGACATCAAAATGCAATGTATTATTCGAGAGGACAGAATGCGTCACAACATAAGTATTCGTAAAACCATCATTCCCCAATGACGAGACAAAACCACAATACAAATTTCATGGAAGATAGGATAAAAAGGGGGTGAGAATGGGAGCATCTGAGAAACTGGCTCAGAAATTGGCATTTCACTATTCCCAAAAACCCTACTTCTGAGATAGGAACTTTCATATGTTCAGCAAGTTAATAAATAAACAGTTCTCTAATTCAAACAGAATTATGAAAATATTTAATGCCATAAAGAGAAGTAAGAAGCAAACGAGTGAGCCAGGGTGGCAGCCTACAGGAGTGGAAAAATATTTACCAGGCAAAGCAAAAGTGTCCAAAGAACCCTGGGCCAGATAAACCAGACTAAACTATAACAGTGCAATGTCAAACAGCACACAACAAAATAAGGCTCCATAGGGAACCACCACCAAAGCAAGGAAAACAGACTACCCATCCTTGCAGCCAAACTCCTAAAGCAGTAGCCCAGACGGAAGAGGTATGCACTCGCCAAACCCTGTACAACCACAACAGGGAAAATGTGAGAGCAGCCATGGCCTAAAGAAAAAGAAAAAAAAGTACTACTACACCCTCAAGCTCCTAGTCTGTGTGCATGAGCTCAATACGAAGGCCTAACCCCAAGACCAAACCAAAAAGTGCACTGCCAAGATAGTGGGCATAACTAAAGAAGAGCAAGGCCTAGAGTTATACCAACAGCAACAGAGAGAATAACCCTGAAGACTCAGTCTTCATAACATTCAGTAACTAAGAAAAAGAACCCTGAAGAGGAAATCATGCATGCAATGACTGGGCACTGCTCCATAAAGCCAACACTACATAATGCAAGCCCAAAAGCAGAGACAATCCTTGACCTGTTATTAACATTCAGATGTATAAACAGAGAATACATAACTATTTTACTCTAAATGGATATTCGTGTGTAGGTTTGGTCATTTGCCTATTGGTAAGTGCCTTTTTGGTGTAGAATGGCAAATGGAATAATGTGTGTTTACCACTGGAGACAGATACACACACTGATGATACTGTTATCATAAAGCACGGTGGTGAATACAACACACTGACGGTATGATGCTGTATGGTGTTTACATAATGGTTCTTAATACATGATAAATTTCCTACATGTTATGATGTGAGACATAGGGAATATCTTTTGATTTCTATTATATATGATGCGAGACATAGAACACACAACAATCCAAAAAGCATCTACAGTGAACCAAAAATGGTAATTTCTTTATCATGCCAAGTTTCTGAAGCTCTCAATGATATTTATTGCAAGGGGCTCAAAGCAGCATTGTGGATGGACCCAGGCACTGACACATGTAGCAACCGACAAGACATGCTCAGAATAGTTAACAAAATATGAACTACTTACATCATCTCTCCTAGCCTCCAGGATAATAAGAACTCTCAAATCTGTTTCTACATTGAAGACAATGGCTCTGTTTAAAGAATCATCCAGTTCAAACTTTGTTTTTATTAATCGTCCAGAACGAGAATATTTAGCAGCCTCCACTGTCTGAAACACGAAAGAATAAATGCTAAATGCGCAATGTCAGTTTTAGAACTGGGAACACTTCAGGCTTATTGAGACTTCTCAGAGAGATGGGAGAAGAAAATCACTTAACTACATAGCAAAATCAGCAGTTAACCAATGTTAATATCCAGTGGCACCCCATGAGCACACCCCCTGCTCAAACATGTTTGTGAACAATTATGGAAATTGTCATGCTGTAAGCTTATTAGTTTGCACTTTCTGTTAACACACACAACTGCACAGAGCTAATATACTTCATGCAACAAAAACATTCTCTAGAAATTTTATAACAATTTTAAGCTCAATTTTATTCAGTTCTTTACTTGAACATATCATGTAAACAAATATCTTGTTTGTTAATAAACAGTAATGGTACACTTGCGAACCTTGGTAATCCTTCCTCTCTCCGGGTAACCAAATTCCTCCTCTAATGTCCGTTTCCCTTCTCTCTCCCGAATTGTCAAAATTCTGAAATAGGATACTATGTAACTAATCTACACAAATTTGAGCATTGTTAATGACAAAAATACTGTTGGATTGACAGGACTCTGTGGACAATACAGTACTATTTGATCTCTGCAGGATGTACTCAACCACTCGCTAACATCATATTAATTGCCGGTTTACCTCAAAGACCATTAGAAAAATTAATTACTGTACTCAATTTGCCCAGTCCAAACTCATGGCCAAATATCAAAAAGTGAACTCTTTACTTCTAATAATTTTTGGATTACATTCTTGCATAATGGTTCCTCTCAAACATTTGGCAACTACTGGTGCACTCCAAGATCCCAAATGCAGTGTTGAATTTAGAAATGACCAAAAATGTGGCTCTCAAGAGAGGAAACTCTGCTTCCTTTCTCAGTCCTGTTCATTATGTGAACAAGAGTAGGGATATCTATGGTAGCTTCGTACCTGAGTATCCTTACAGAAAATTTCCACAATAGCTGACAGTGATTCAGACGACGAAGCAACTGTATGCTTCATCATCTGAAGCATACAGACGATGAGTAACAATAACATGGCTGAAGATATGATGACCAAACCACACATCAGAAAATAAAGAAACAATGTTTCAGTCCGTCCTGGACTGAAACAACTTATTATCACACGACTTGATAATGGTCCAGGACAGACCGAATCATCGTCGTTTCTTCATTTTCTATGTAAGGTTTGGTGTTCAATTGAAGTATCATTTAAAATATACTGATATTTGGAGTTTGTGAAGGCAACTTAAACAGACTTGACTTCCTACAAGGAGATATGCTGGTAAAATTGACAAGACAGAGCAGTTCACTACACCCTGTGGACCCCCAGGTTTTGTACATGTAAATGGCACAAGAGAATGTGTAGAGTTAATGTTTAACATGTTTCAGAGATTTAAACAGAGGGGCTGTGTGTTGTATGAAAACAGAGTCTGTTATTGTTTTAATTGCCGATTTTTGTTGGGTGATGAAACTTGCGTCATGTTTCAACAGAATGATCCAGGGCTAACTGTAGTACATTAAAACTATTTATACTCTTAGTTATTATTGATACAATTACTGTATACAACAGTGTACATTGATTATTTAATGATTAGGAATACATGTACAGTGATTATGAATCATTATCACAACCTCCAAGAATTACCTAGCAGGTGCCAGGTAGCAACACCAATAAAATATCCTTATTTTGCATATTTTGTTAAGCATTTAAATTGGAAAACGTGGCTCAGCATTTTCTCTTGATAACTGTTTAACTACTTTTAGTTAAAATGTATTAATTTTTTGTATGTTTTTTATATTGCATATCACCTAATGGCATTCTCTCGGAATTTTTTTTATAATACATTTGAAATCATCATCCTGGCAGGGTAACCAGGTTTTGTAAATACTGTACATAGCCTGCAAAGGGTCAACAGATGAAAGTACGATACCCAATTGCAGTGTATGTAAACTATAGTTCCCATACTTCAAGTTAATAAGTGCTATAGAAAAAACTAATCTTTTTTAACAACATTATTACCTGATTTCTGAAGTCCTGACATGAATAACTCTGCTAGAGTCATCAGGGTGGAACATAAGATAGTCAGGAGAAATCTGAATATCATTTCTATCCCTCCACATTACCCGTCCTCCATTAAGAAGTTCCTCTGTTGCTAAATCACGCACCTGTGGATTTAGTTTTATGTGATTAGTAATGGACAAACTCCTAATGGAGCTCCAGGGCTAAGCTCCTCTTGTTGATTAACTGTGATCACTTTTAATTATTTTTCTTTTCTTTTTCTGGTGATTGCTGATTCAGGGTCAGGGTCAGGGCCAGGCTTGTCTGGTGATTGCTGACAAGCCTGCTCCTGCAGAACTTGTCAAGTTGAACTTCAAGGATTTAGCCTTTGATCCAACAATATTCTTATACTGTATTTACTGATAAGAGATTGAAAGTTTGCACCCCTTTGATGTATACACAAAGTTTGTGTATGATTGTGCTTATGATTGATATTAAACCCTGTTTCACTGGGTTATTCTACATTTCCTACCATACCTATCACCACAAATATCTTAACTCACTACCATGAAAATGAATCATTATCAAAATATATACAAAATATTTAATTACTATTCAGATACGCATCTGAGAAGATGAAAACAAAACATTGTTCACAAAAATTTTAGGAATTGTTACGTTCATACGGCTAATATATAAACGATCACATCATCAATTATGTGGACCGAGAATGAAAATAATTTTTGATAAGAATTAACTTTGAATTATCATATACTGTAGCAAAATTGGTTGATATTTCTAAGTGACATAACAGGGATCTTTTAAAACACGTCTTGGGTGATACTGAAGCAAGAGTGTCACCAGAGTATGCCTTATCTAGATCATTCCCACCTGGAATGATCTAGGCTCATTCAACTACCCCTTCCAAGCGAAGCTGTACATCAGAGAGAGTGCCAAGAAGTTTACTGCTAATTGGCCCACATGGCTGCTGCTACACAACCACCACAGGTGTTAGCACCTACATGTCAAGAGGGTGCCCCCTGCTTCTGTCCATCTCTAATGAAAAAAAGACTGGGGGGGGGGGGGGGTGTACGAGTCCAACACTAACCCAAGAGGCACACCAAACAAAATAATGTCAGCAGCATATGGGGAAGCTGACAAACATAAGAACAGTATTTAAAAATCCAAAGTAGAATGCACATATACACAGCCTATGTGAGGACATTACTAAAGTATGCACACTAGCATGAAATATGCACTATGTGAAGCACCAAAACATACAATTACAAAAATTGCCTACAAGATTAATACCAGAATTAAATGAACTAAGCTGTGAGGACAGGTTAAGGGTATTAACTCTGGCAAGCTAGACAAGAGAAAGAGCAGATGAGATAAGGTCTCTATACACTAAATACTGAGGGGAATAGAAAAGGTGGACAAGGATAGTGTCTAAACATAGAAAATAGTACATGTGTGGAAGCTGGAAAAGCAACAGATTTGTAGAAATGCAAGGAAATAATGGAGGGTGATGGACAATAAGTTTACCGGTACATGTCATACATGTACCACATGTTTTAGTAGCATAGAAATTAAACCATGTTTGGTTGCCCAGGCTAAACTGGGACTGTTTAAAGTACAGTATTTTGGAGTTCTCTTTGTATACGAATAAAATTATCGATATCCATACGAGCAAATGTATAGGATGGTAACATATAAGTACATAAGAAACAGCAAAAAGTCTATTGGTCTATGTGTAACCCATCCTCCTAATAGAGCATCACATTTTGACGCATATGCTAAGGCCAAAAATCGTCGTACAAGAAAATGGTAGCGGCTCGTGAAATTGACGTACAGGCACTGTTCAGTCTTCTGTTTTGGGTTCTCTGGTAGGATAGAACAGGGCACTTTAGTAAGACAGTTTCTTGACATTGGGAAACCTTAGGAGGACGGGCTGCTATGTGATCCTCACGTCATCAGGAAAGTAACATTCTTCCCATTTACAATTACCATATATATTTTAAGATAAATGCTCTAATAAGGGTTGTGGAAGATAGCAAATCTAAAGAAACTAAATATCATGCCCATTTGCCTACCTCTAAAACCGAGTCAGAAACTGCTCGTATATATGTCCACGGACACGCACCCAAGCCTAAGATGTCCATATGTGCCAATGTGACAAACAGAAGTGGAGGAGCCTTTTCCACAAGTTCCAGATGGTTGGATGCAAAATCCTCAACACCATGAATACTGCTTACCATCTTCTCCTATGAAGGAAATTAAAGCATGAAAACATCAACTCTCAGTAGTATGGCATATACTTTTAATTTTGTGAACTTTGTATTGTATCTGTATTTCTACTAAGCCTCACAAACATTAATAACTGAGTTTGCTAAATAAGTAACTCAATTATTTCTAAAACAATTTATATGCAAATTATTCTTCAAGTATTCATGAAACACAGAAAACAACATGCTTTCATCTTTGACTCTTTGTTCTTAATCTAGAATTCCACTTCTTATAAAGCAAAGCATTCTATTTGTTTGTTATATGGATTGATACACTGCTGCCTAGGTCTTGGGTCTATCATGATTTTTGCAACACAATTTGCCCAAGTCAGTATCGTTCATCTGAAAGAAAGGGTCACTGTCATTTTCGAAGTTTAGGACTTTGCACTTATCAACACTGAACTGCATCTGACACTTCTTTCCAGTTCTGCAGTGTTGTGTGTTCCTTCATGTAAGAGTTAGCACTGTCAAACTCCAGCAAATCCTCCACAGCAGCACCCTACCGCTTCCAACCTGCTCCAACCCTAAATGCACCACATTAAGATGCACAAGCTTCTAATTAGGGCACTTTTACATGGCAGTTCAGTTTGGAAATTATATGCTTTCTAGCACTAATAATTACAACCTAAGAAGATGGGTTAAGTCATTATAGGTTCTGCTTTTTTTCAGCACAAGACTGCTATAATACCAACATATTTGACACATTTTGTTTGAGCAGACTACACTAAGTTGTATAGAGCATTCAGAGTGCTTTCTGCAAATTACTGCAGTTTAAAATACAACAACAATAGTTCAATAATAGTCAAGCATTAACTTGCTACTAACAAAGTGAATCCATCAAGCATTATCCCAACCAGTTTCACACAGCAACAGCTAGGTGAGTACAGCGTTCACACTTACACACACATTCACATTCCGGGGTTTGTCCATCACCGTGGCTTCTCTTTCCCCTATCCTCACATGTACTCTACTTCATGATTCAATATTTTCATGTTTATATGCAAATATTGTACCTTATAAGTTCTATTATTTGAAATACTGTATAAAGCTGCCATAGCAAAATTAAATAAACTTTGACGTTTCGGGCGTTTCTGCCCAAAACGCTGCGCGTACTAGTGGCTTTACAAGAATGTAAATACTGTACTATCCAATGTATTCTCACAAACCCAATGTACCTTCTTGTATATATATATAAATAAATAAATAAATAAAATAAATAAATAAACTAACATAAATGATATCAATTTTATAAAGTCTAATATACTGTACATTTGTTTCATTTACATGTACATATATGTATATTATACATTTGTACAATATACAAGTATATATACTGTACATATTGTACAATATACTGTTTTTGTCTATATGCCATCATATAGACCTTTCTGCCACCATATACTGTAGGACCTTTTATGCCATCATGTGGGCCTTTCTGCCATCATATAGACCTTTCTGCCATATATGGACCTTTTGTGCCATCATGTGGGGCCTTTCTGCCATCATATGGACCTTTTGTGCCATCATGTGGGGCCTTTCTGCCATCATATGGACCTTTTGTGCCATCATGTGGGGCCTTTCTGCCATCATATGGACCTTTTGTGCCATCATGTGGGCCTTTCTGCCAATTATATTGACCTTCTTTGTCATCATATTGACCTTTCTGCCATCATATTAACTTTTCTGCCATGAAACAAGATAGTTTATGCGAACATTTACCCCTACAGTTCACAAGCTACAGGATTTTCTGTATATTAACACTGTATGTAAGTTGACCAAGTCTACTTGGCATTTTCACCCTAACACAATGTCTGGTAGCCATCATAGTTTACACTTAGAAACTGACAATAAAGATGCTTCCAGCAATAAGCGGGCCCATTGGGGTGTTGTCATAAAACTGTACAAGTGAACTGCAGAACATAGATCCAATCTACAAGAATATAGTAAATGGAATGTTTCATTACAGGGAATATTTCACCCTCTGAATCACAGCGGCATCCTTAATACTTCCTTTCCGTATAGGAAATACTTGAACATAATCAGATTGGACTATGGAGTTTAATTAGACCAAAGCCAAGTGCTGAGACTTATGAGTTATTCAGTATGTAAAAGGGAACACTTGACCACCTGATTCATGTATGAAAATACAGTACTCACATGCAATGCAGGCAGTACACCAGTGGAATGTACCACGAGATGTTGTCGATGCCATCTCTGTATGCAGTTTCAAGAGCAAGTACGGCAGCAAAGTTGAACGTCTAGAGATATAAAAGCACCAGGTACGAAAAGCTTGGAGGCGGGACCCAAGAGCCAGATTTCTCTCTCTCTGTAGAAACTGGTAGGTAAACCCTCATGAGTAAGCATCATAGCAATATACTTTATGATTTATTTCTTTAAAGGTTTAAAGATTTATTTCTTTAAACCTGATCTTCCAAATCTTGGTAGTTTGTCTCGCATGTCATTTCCTTAAAGGTAATATTGTCTACAATCTGTAATCTGAATCATATGGGGCCCACCGCCACTTGAATTAGCCCATGTTTTTACTGGGAACATCTAAAATTAAGAAATTAGAATTGATTCTGGTTTCTCATTTGGCAGAAATCTCAGGAACTTGAATATGCATTTGAGTTGAGAGGTCAAGCACTTGACCTTAAATTTATTCGAGTTTCTTGTTCAGTATAACCTTTTAACCCGAATTCCTATTCGGGTTAAAAGGTCAAAATGGGTAAAAAAAAAAAACTTAACAGGAATTCATTAGAATTACTTGCAAATTCGGGTTACAGGAATTTCAATTACCAAGCTCTTACAATACAGTACTACATGAACTTCCAAATCTTGGTGGCTTGCTTCATAAGTTACTCATCACTGCCCCTCCCTACACAAAGGCACACATGAACACTGCATATACTGTAATGTATCACCTCAACTAATTTCCTTGTGTGTTCTATTTACTCTAGTACTTTACCCTCAATTATCTCTTAATATTTTAATCATTAGGCTTTGATTTATTTTCTTTTACATCCTTAAAATTCTGTTTTCTTTTAGGCATATCAAATGCTGTACAGTACAGTATTTGCTCATTCTTAATATAACACTGTTCTTTATTTACAATCTTTTCTCCACCCCCAACATGATGTAATACAATTTTTCATTATCTCTCTGGTATAGTTTTCTGACAAAGATAACTTACCTTCATAATTTCCTGTGCATCATATATAAGACTATAGTTCTTCTCTGTCATCACAATTAGCATATCGTCGTGGATCTCGGCATTGCGAAGCTTCCCATACCGCCTCTTGTGTTCTTTTTCTTAAAAATATCAAAATGTGAGATTTTGGAATAGGTAAGATTGGGAGAAGGAAATATATCCTTGAACTCAATGACAGTGACTATGTACATAATGATTGGTCCTGTAGCACAGTGGTCTGTGTCTTCAGCTCACAATCAACCCAGGTTCAATCCACGGGCAGGACAGAAATGTTTCCTTTCACCTGACGCCTCTTCACCTAGCAGTAAAAAAAGGTATACAGGAGTTAGACAACTGTTGTGGCTTGTATCCTGAGGAAGGTCAGTAGTTGGCCTATGGGAACCTTGATAAGCTTCTTGATAAACTTAACTACTGTACAGGCTTTCTCTCCCCAATAATGGGAATTAAAGAATAGATTCTCATCACCTAACATATTAGTCCATGGATTAATGTCAATTGCTGCTTGTCTAATCTTATAGGTATTATTATTGACATTGCAGTACTGTTACTATCATTTTTGTAATTAGTGTAACCTACATTATAATCAGAATTATTATATCATATTATAATGTTTTAGGCGTCCATTGACACTATACCTTCCTATATTATGGTATTCGTATACAACATGTATACAATACATGAATACAGTACAACATGAAGATAAAGTTAATCATTGCATGTTTCTATCATTGTTATTAATATTGTGCTTTGACAATCTAGTTATGTAAATTAATGAGAATATATAAGAAAGTCTTCAAATTACCTGGAAATACTGAGCCATCAATATCAAACTTTGCCAACCATTTGAAGGGATGCATGTGAAATGCATGAAACCGGAAGAGGCATTCTGCTCGATGATGAAACTTGAAGTTGGGCGACTTAACGATGAGGATGTCAGACAGAAAACTCACAGACAGGGAGTTACATGGCAGATGACTTAGGAATATACTATTATAAAACTTCCCAGTTTCCAGGTTATGACGGGTCAGCACACCACCTTTCCTCAGAGTAAACATCACCGGCTGGTATTCTGAAAAGATTTATAAGAGAATACAAATTATACTGTACTGTACAACGATAATTTACAAGGTAATTTTCCCATTATTGGGGACAAGAAGCCAATAGTTAGGCTTACTGAATCATCCCCCTAGGTTAACTATTGACCTCCCAGGATGTAACCCACAACAGTTGCCTAACTCCTGGGTACTTATATTTTACTGCTAGGTGAACAAAAGGCATCAGGTGAAAGAAAATGTGCCCGACCATTTCTGTTTCATTCAGGGATCAAACCCGGGATCCCAGATTGTAGACTACTGCATTATTAAACACATCTCCAATAAAATGCATAGCGTAGACTACTACAAATTACAACAGTCTCTCGAGTAGCACGAGAACAGTAGTGGGAAAACTCATACGAGTACAACATAGTTAGACTACATGGGAAATATAGGAATACATTCCAAAAACTTCCAAAAGGCTCCCTTTCCCTACTCTGATTTTAATAAAACAAGTACAAGCACTGTTCCTCAAAATTATTATTACTGTGCTTGAATTTTTGACACCTCCAAGTAACAAATATATTGTGTATGTAGTTTTGTATACTTGCCAATTACGAGAATGGGGAATTCTCCCAGCTGACTCAGTACCATAGTTGTGTGTAATAATGACATGTAAAGATATGCACTCAGTGCATCTCGGCATTAACCACTAATTCAAGAAGGAACACGGTGATGCCGGATCATCATACTGTATATAGATTTGGATGTCCCAAGTACAGATATTACACCACAGCCGATGTGTGACGTTGGGTTATTTAATTAGGCTTGAAATATAAAAGGCTTAGGGCTGGGAGGCCTATATCAAGCCTCCATCTTGATAACAATTAAATCACCTTCTGCATAATTTAATCACAATAAAATGATATAATAAATCTGAGAAAATATTGAAAATATGTAATCAAGTACAGTAGTACACTGTTCATCTGGTTGGTATACATAACCCCATCATGGTCCAGTTGGTCTGAGGAGTTCAGGAATGTGGATGTAACGAGGTCGGCGCCATCTGTTGAACGCACCCTACCCCAATTCTTGTTCCCCGGTGGATGGCTGTGATCTTACTGACAAGTATATAATTTCCTTCTTACTATTCATCTTTTACTACTTAAAGTAGGCTCTTCCTTGGGCTCCTTGTCCCTTTTAGACAATTTGAAAAGGTACATGTTTTGCTGGGATGTGGTACACTTAATAATTCATTTTGTCAGGGGGCAAGCAGCCAGTGTATGTATATGCATTAGGCTTGTATCAAGGTCCTCCTTCCCCCAAAGGTCAAACTACTGACCCTTCCCAGGATGCAACCCCACAATAGTTGACTCTCAGGTACCTATTTACTGGCCTGGAGTCCATACCTAGTTAAACACAAGACAAAGTTAGAGAAGATTCAGAGGTAAGCCACCAGACTAGTCCCAGAACTGAGAGGTATGAGCTACGAGGAAAGGCTATGGAAGCTAAACCTCACATCCGTGGAAAACAGAAGAGTAAGGGGGAAGGCATGATCACCACTTATAAAATTCTCATGAGGAATTGCCAGGGTGGACAAAGAAACTATTTAGCATGGGTGGAACACAAACAAGGGGACACAGGTGGAAACTTAGTACCCAAATGAGCCACAGAGACATTTTTTTTTTTTTTTTTTTTTTTTTTTTTTTTAGATATATACAAGAGTTGTTACATTCTTGTACAGCCACTAGTACACGTAGCGTTTCGGGCAGATCCCTGGAATATGATCCCCGCCGTGAAGAATCGTTTTTACAACCAAGTACTCATTTTACTGTTGAGTTAAACAGAGGCTACAGTTAAGGATTTGCGCCCAGTAAATCCTCCCCGGCCAAGATACGAACCCATGACAAAGCGCTCGCGGAACGCCAGGCGAGTGTCTTACCACTACACCACGGAAACTGAAAGAATTAGAAAGAATTGTTTCAGTGTCAGAGTAGTTAACAAATGGAATGCATTAGGCAGTGATGTGGTGGAGGCTGACTCCATACATAGTTTCAAATGCAATAGATTCTTGAAATCTATTAAATTCTAAGATTTTTGAGCCCAATAGGCTCAAGAATCTGTACACCAGTTGATTAACAGTTGAATGGCGGGACCAAAGAGCCAAAGCTCAACCCCTGCAAGCACAACTTGGCGAGTGCTGCTAAGTGAACAGAGGCATTAGGCAAAAGGAAATGTGACCAACTATTTCTATCCCACCCAGGATTCAAGATTGTGAGTCTAGAATGAATGCAACTGTATTACTGAGACCCTGAACATCGTGGTACGATATCCGTAGCCTACAATGACCAGTGACTTAAGAAATAGCGACGCAATCAAGGGGGGTCTTGCTCCAAAAGTTGTACAGTATTGCTGCCAAAGTTGTTTAGCCAAGGTCATTAAAAATTGAAGACAACTTTACTCTACTTCTACTCCAAATATGAATCATACACTGGTGTTTTTAAGATCAGTTTTGAGTAGATGGTGGTGAATTAGGGGGTATGTTAATTGTCCAGGAGTGTTCAAGGATAGGCAAATGATGTCAATTTAACTCTAATTAAATATTACCTAAGCATGTTTTGTCCACTGGAATATGTCTCTCATGGAAGTCTTCACTTTTACTGAATGACGTTACAGAATACAGCACAGTTTTACATGAAGGGAATTCTTCCCTTACAGGTAAAACTGTACTGTACTGTATTCTGTAACATCTTCCAGTCTATTTCTATGTCTTTGCTTTAATTACCTTGCTGAGGAATAGAGGCCCTAAAATGTGGGTCAGGAATCTCATATACAGCTACCTCCATAGGCCGGGGATGGAGGTCTGATGTGTACAGGGTCATGACTCTTCCATCTCCACAAATTCTCTTCATGACATTACAAGAATCTGAAATTTAACCATGTTTGATTAGGTCACACATCATTAAACGACACAATACTGAGCTTTAAATTATCTAATACACACACACACATCAAATTAAATGAAAGTGATGACGTTTTGGTCTGGGACAGACCAAAATGTTGTCACTTTCATTTGATATACAGTATACTGTAGTACGTTTCAGCCACATTACTCAAACATTTTCTGCAGGGAACTTTAAATATTTGAAGGAGCACATTTAATTTAATTTGCTTTACACTATAAATTTATCACAACATTAAAGTGGGCCAAGTATAGGAGCAGTTTACATAGTGTATGATCAATAACAGATAGCCTTGAGTGTTCCATTAATCCTTCCACTGCGCATCACAGCTGGAGTCATGCAGCCTAATTATCCACAAACTGCGCATAACAGCTGGAACTGTTTTAAAGTACCACATAAGATTTAAGTCCTACACAAACATTTGCTTCCTTAGGCCTCCAGTAACCATTTCCCTATCTTTTAAAAAAAATCCCGAGTCCCTCAGTTTCCATCTATGGCTTTAGGAAAAAAAATAGGAAAATGACTGGCACTTTATCATCCAGTGTCTGGATGTGCAAGACACACATTAGGAACCATTGAACTTTTAACAGCAGCAAATGAGTGATCACCATGTATATTTAGAGGAAAAATGTGTGCTATGTGCAATTATAAGATTTAGACTAATACTTAAATAATACATAGGCTAATACAGTTTAAGAGAAAAACTAAGTACTACCTAATCAACTCCATGTAACCTATCTTACCTCCTAAATGTCAACCTATTTCTTCCTATTGTCAAGCATTAATGATTAATATCTAACTTGTAAAACAGCCATGAATAAACTTAAGACAATTGTATTCCATCTGTTTATTTAGTTAAAATTACTATCTGCTGTTTTGTTCCAATTTCTCCTGTTCCATTCAACATGTAATTAGTCATTTTTTTTTCTACTTCAGTTCAATTCTTGCTTGTGATCTCAATTAGTTTTAAAGTCTTATTTTTAAGTTTATTTTTCCACATCTTGCTCAAATGCTATGCATATTAATGGCTTTAGGCATAGTTTATACAGTGACACTTCGGCTTACGAATGCCCCTCTTTACGAACTTTTCGGGTTACGAGCCCAATTTCTTCGTAAAATCCGAATCGGGTTACGAACTTTGCCTCGGGTAATGTAGTTTGTTGATACACGTACGGCCAACCTAGCACGTGGTAGCACGGCGGCTGCGCCTCAGTTTACAAGTGCCTCCTGCCTAATGACAATCTTGCCTGAATTCATTGTAAAGAATTTCAGTGTTTTTCAGATTTTTGAACATAAAAGTAATTGTTATTATATCTCTCGCCATGGGTCCCAAGAAAGTCAGTGGTAAGGTTCAACCTAAAAAAATTGTTGTGAGTAAAGACAGTACTGTAGAGGATGTCCCTTCCTCATTCAGAAAATGTGTGAAGTATGGGAAGAACTGCAAAGTTTTGTTAAAAAAGAAACACTTGCCCAGACAAAGCTGTATCAGGTCGTTGCATTCACCTTTTAAATGACAATGTGATGTCTCACTACAGACAAGTGTTAAAATGTGGGGAAAAACAAGTGTCTTTAGACAGATTCTTAGTAAGATAAGCAAGCAGTGAGCCACAACCAGATCCTATTGGTACTCCTGCTAAACGTAGGAGAGAGAGTACCCCAGAGAAGTCATCACTGCCTGATGTTATAATGAAAGGGGAGGACTCCCCTTCCAAACACTAACACCTCTCCTCCTCCACATCCCCCTCCTCACTGTCTTCCATACGCCAACAAGAGTCATCAATAAAAGTAAGCAATAACTTGTACATGCTTTAGTAATAAAGATTTGGGTGAATTAGGTCTAAAATTTACCTTGAAGTTAATATTTTTGGGAGTGTGGAACGGATCAATTCAATTTACATTATTTCTTATGGAAAAATTCACTTCGGTTTCCAAATTTTTGGGTTACGAACCGTCTCTGGGAGCAGATTAAATTCGTAAACTGAGGTACCACTGTATTTGCTCTATCTAGAAATATAGGGGTCCTGGTAATACAGTTGGATTCGTTCTTGACACAAAAACAAGAATTGCAGGTTCGAATCCTGGGCACGACAGAAATGGTTGGGGGCCATTTCCTATCACCTATATCCTGTTCACGAGTTACTCAGCTTGTTGTATGGTTACATCTTGGGCAGGATCATTAATTTGACTTGGGGGGGGGGGGGGGGGTACCTCGATATAAGCCTAAGTTGTACGAATACACTGGCTGCCTGTCCACAATAAATTATTATTATTTTAATTCCAACATTCTGCTTTTAACTCATTTTGTATGTATGCACTTTTCCTAATAAATTTCCTATATATAAATAAAATTAGAACCATTTTTTTGTGCACCATGGGGTTGTCAACATTAAACAGGTGAGCAGTGCAGGGATTAGTATCTGCCATACACCAACTGGTCTTCCATTGTCAGGAACAGGAAACCAGATTAGGCTAATACAAGTCACCATAGGCCAATAACTGACCTTCCACAAGTTGCAACCCACAACAGTCATGTAACTCTTGGGTACCTCAAGCATTTACTGCTAGGTAAAGAGGTATTGGGTTAAAGAAAACATGCCAAAACAGATCTCCCAGCCTAGAAATCAAACTTTGGTCCAACAAGTTATGAGCAGATTGTGCTAACCACTGCACAATAAGCCAGCACCAGGTACCCCATCATGTCACCTTTGTTTGAAAGAATTGCAAAAATATACAGATATCCTACACCTCAGATGGTCAGCTGATCTGGTAATCCACATGAGGTCACCACTCAATTCCAAGAGAGAGTTCTCCTTGGTCTGAAAAATATTTTTCCATTTTCGTCTTGGTCCAAAAACTGCGTATCGAAGAGCCTGCATGCTAGCCCTGAAATGGAGAAGATGACAGGAGTAAATAATCACATACGTATACCCACAAAGAGATATAAACAGTGAGCAACCACAGACAACACCTTACCACCAAGTGCACTTTACACCATATTCCCTGCACATCAACTCGTGCACCAGATGTCTCCTCTTAGGCCTCATGGTTGTCCTCTAGGGCGCCAGGGTGGAAGTCTTGCCAGACGCTGACGTGAGCAGTGTGACACAACTCTGACAGTCACAACTTCACACAACGTCCTCCCAAGCCTTCAGTGTTGTGGTGTCAAGTTTACACTCGCGCTCCCTCCAACATGGTGCCACACTTAATATTTCTCGTGTTTTGCATACTAAAGTGTTGGCAAAATAATAAAATTCATACCTAATTATGAATATGATATATTATATCTATTGATTTAGTTTGATTGTCATTTTGTCCATAAAATTGATTTGTTGTGAAACACAAAGTTTACATATAAGACAGCTGTTTAATAACATATCAAGTGCCGACTTTACCTTTTATTCAATAATTAACTGGAGATTATTGTGATATATCCCACTAGATAAATTAGGACGTGTTAATCCGTATAGAACTGGAGCTATAGTTGTAACTGTCGCTACGACACGACATGTAGTAATAAGAGAACAAAAGATGTGTGGTTGGCAGCGCTGCGGCGGCTCCCAGCTGTCACCAGCACAACAGGTCAGTGTGGCAGGTGACGGCGGCGGGGGAGGGTGTGGCCCTTCGCTCGCTCCATCATGCTATAACTTTGTAACAATCACGGTCGGGAATCCCTGGAGTTAATACGCTGCCAAGCTCCAAACGATCATTAAAACTGTAAGGGGTTTTAACTTGTCCCAGCGGTCGAGATACGTGGTTGTTGTGTTATGGGCAACGTCCTTGTTAGGTGTTGTATTATGCAATTAACACCATTGGTCGGAGAGATACATTATGGCAGCAATGAGTGGATACATCAACTCCCAGACGTGGGAGGTGAGTGTACGTGCTTTTGTTGTGTATTGGTAGCTCATTATTGTATACGAGGTAATAACCAGCCTGGGACATTGCCTCAGAGATGACTAATGTGGTTTAGTGAGTGTCACTCCTCCTCTGGCTCCACACGCCGCCACACTCACACTATTACCAACATTTACCTGAGGAGAAACTAGTGGTAAATAGTAAACTCTAGTACTAGTGGACTCTCCCAGTCACTTGGGCTGGACGGTAGAGCGATTCTAAGTCCCATATAGTCGTAATTTCTTGGCAGTTTCCTCTGATAATTCCCTCCCCTCGACGAGGACAGGAAGCCAGTGTCTTGTCAAAGTTCACCCCATTTGCCCTGATGATCTTTTCCAGTTGTATTTTAAAACCCGACACAGTTCTGGCATTTATGGCTTGGGCGGGTAGGTTGCTCCTTGTTTGTGTTACATCTGACCTTATGAAGAAATTGTTCGGATCAACATCCTCCAAATTGTTCAATATTTTAAAAATATCAGTGCTACATAGCCTTTTTGGCTTAGTGCCTTTTGATAATTAAAAGTATCAATGAGATCTGCCCTGTCATACTTAGTTTGTGGTGGTGTTAGCCCAGTGGCCTTCAACCGTTCCTGGTACCAGAGATGACTTGACTCTAGAATTATTTTTGTTGCCTGGTGTTGCACTTTCTCTAGAGCAGCAATGTCCTGAAGATGTCTCGATGATTGGATGCAATAATCCAGAGACTTGTACAATTGAATGACTACCTTCTTTTCCCTAAAGGTTAAGGTATTGGGCACCTTCACTCATCCTATGAGTGAACATTTACCTGGGGGCCAATGTGTGTCTACGGTTCAACGAGGACAAAGGCTGGCATCTTGTTAAAGGTCCCCCCCCTTTTGTCCTGATGATTTTTATCTATTTGGATCTTAAAGTCCAGCAGTGTTTTAGCATTTATGGCTTCAGTGGGTAGGCAGTTCCATGGGTTTATAACCTTGTGGGTGAAAGTGTCTCCTGTTTTCAGTCCTACATTGTGGTTTGTTGAGCTTGAAATCGTTGTTCCTTGTTTGTGTTACATCTGACATTTCAATATAGTGGTCTGGATCAACATCCTCTAAATTATTCAGTACGGTATTTTAAGTTTCCATGACGTCAGCTCTATCATGTCTGGTTTGCAATATTGTTAGCCCTGCAGCCCTAAACAGTTCCTGCTATGGAAATCGACTTAGTTCAGGAATTAATCTTTGTCACCCAACATTAAACTTCCTCCAAAGCAGACATGGCTTTCTGAAGATGAGATCTCCATGCTTGGATATAATAATCCAAGCACCAGAGATTTGTACAGTTATATAATTACCTTCTTTTCCTTGGTCAAAGTTTCGTTCGACTTCATATAATTTATTTACTCACTCACTCACTCACACTGCATCTCCCACTTGTTTTGCAACTTTCAGCGATTAGTAGATTTTGACTCCACAGTCCTTTTCTTCATCAATCTGCTACAAGGTAATGTTGATATGATAGTTGTGATGTGTGTTGTTATGCCCCACATGCAAGAACTTGCATTTCCTGAGTGGTAGAATCAACTGCATTGCTTCGGTGGTTTTCCCGCCTTTTATTGGTCCTGAAATGGAACTCACTGGACCTCTGGTTCATCCTCGACCTTTCACCACTGAACTGATTCACTCCCTGCCCCTCAGTCCAGGTGACAATTTTGTCCCAAATCTGTCTCATTCTCGAGGTGGATGCCTGGATGATGGATGTCTTGGCAATGGGATCCCTATACATCTGAAGTTCAAGGATTGGCTAGGACTTGATAATGGTCCAGGATGGATTGAAATGTCATCGTTTCTTCATTTTCCGATGTGTGGTTTGGTCATCATATCTTGGCAGCCACATTATTGTGACTGTCTGCATAGGTTTTGTCATGGGGCTTACCTCTTTCAGGTTCTCCCATTTAGACTTAATTTGGCTCCACTCTTGTTCACTCATTCACTCAAGTCATTGTGCCTTGTCTTCATTTGTTGGGAGTTCAAGTTTTGGCCTACTTTGATGACTTGCTGGTGTAGGCTCCCAGCCAGTATGTGTGTCTGCTAGCCAGGGATCTGGTTCTTTCCCAGCTCACCGGGTTCAAGTTCTTGGTGGGCTGGCAGAAGTTCCAGTTGGTTCTATCCCTGGTTCAGACTTGGCTGGGCCTCATGTGGGACACTCGGTTAGTTTTGCTTTCCCTTCCTCCAGCAGCCTTGAACCAGCTGCAGCACTGCTGTCTGTTGGTGCTGAGTTGGCCCCAGGTGTCTTGACAGTTGCTTGTACATTTATGTGGCGGGGCCTAAATTTTGCCTGCAAAGTTTATCCTCTGGGCTTCAGTGTGACTTCGGTGGTTGTTCTGATCTCTACAGGGCAGTCCCCTTCACCAGCACTGCAATTGTTGGGTGTGGGCCCTCCTTGGTCCTCCTTGATTCTTTTGGTCCTTGGTTGATGTCACCTCCTTCCTTTGGCTTTGTGAGACTTGCGGGTGCACGGATGTGGATCTCTTAGAGTTGGCAAGGAATCGGTGCCTTATCATGTATGCAACTGTCCCTATTTGCAAGACCCTTAGCAGTGGATGCCTTTCAACTGGACTTGTTGAGGTGAGGATTTCTGTATTTTTTTTCCCCCATAGTCCGGCTATTGCTCCGGGTCACAGCCAGGTTTGAGTCCTACTAGGGTGGAGTGATTCTTTTGGCTTCCTGGTGGCTGGCTCAGCCTTGGTTTCAGGCTCTGCTTGCTTGGTGTCTGAACCCAGATGTTTTTCCACAGCTCCAGCTCTTATCAGAAGGTTGGCTTGAAGTTCTTCGCTGGTTTGACCTCACCTCGTTGCATCTGAAATTTTTTACACTTCATTATCGCCATCTTTCCAGCAAGTGAGTGACTTTGAAGTTGTCCCACCTTCGTTATTCTCGGCAGCAGTGTGAGGTTTCGTGGAATTCCTTTCACCACTTGCTTTCATTGCTCTTTGGTTTCTGAATGTGATGCTCTGTTTTCTGTCTTGCCTTTTTCTTGATTGGTACCTCATGCCGAATACTGTCACTTCATATTGTGCAGCACTGGTCGAGCCACTACAGCTCATGATTGGTGTGAATACTACCTAGACTCCATTTCACAGGCCATTTTGTAGCTTGTTTCACCTCTGGCTTGCTTGTGCAATAATCCAAGCACAAGCATTGAACCAGCCTGGTCTTTGGGTCGTTTGTTTGCCTTTCTTTCCTGTTCACATTTCCCAGTGTCCCCTCAGGTCCAGGATTTCTTTTTCTAAGGCTATGTTTTGGTTTCCCTTTCCTCCGGTTGTCAGGTTGGGGAGGCTCATGCTTTCCTGCAGGAGAGCAGCTCCCAGTAGCTTCAGGGACCCACCAGGGCTCAACTAGAAATTTGTGTGTATATTTGTTGGACAGGAATGCTGCTAAAAAATTTAATATATAAAAATTAATATTCTTTCAAGACTAAAAAATTTCAAGTAATTTTTGGGCCAGAGTATATTAAAAATCCAATTTGTATTGTTTGTACTAACCTATGGACAGATAAATTTATTAATATTTTGAGAGAAATTAACTTATTATAAGTTTCATGCTTTGTGTGAAGCAAGTACTGTACTCTCATAAACTGTATTGCCTCTAGGCCTGGTTTGAAACATACGAGGTGTCATGGGAAAATACGTCGCTCATTTTTGTGTTGACTGTGGCACTGTCGCTGGCGGTTGTCATTACCACTTGGATGATGCGAGACTCCGGGTACGACACAAACCATGGGCACCAAGACCAGTGTGAGATAGCAGAATTACAAGGCATTCAGGAAGTAAATACAGATGAAGAATCTGAGCAGGAGAGGAATGATGAGGTAAGAGATGGAGGAATAAAATGTTGGAGTAATAAATATGGGCAGAGAGAGAAGGAAAGGGATACCTGTAGCCTGGTATGGGCAGAGGGAAGAGAGGATAATAAATAGGCAAGCAAGAAGAGGGTTAAAGTATGAGTGGGGAAAGGAGAAATTATATATTTAAACTTCTTGTTAATTACATCATTATGCATACAACGTCACAATAACATGGCTCAAACAAATAACCCAGCTTGCACATATGACTTGATAAAGGTCCAAGATGGACTGAAACATGTTTATTTCATGTGTGTATGGGGATGGGTTATTTACATCATCATCATTACCCTATTTCCTATTTTCATGTAGCACGAGGAACTTGCCTCGAAAAGATGAGAGCAATAAGCCAATAGGTAAAGAAAAAAAAAGATTCTCAAAAAGATACCCCTTCCATAAACCATATCTCCCACAATAAGTACTGTAGCATCACAGAACCAGCACCACCATCACTTCAGAAAATCAACAGCAGCACTACATTCCTTGGCACTAAGTATATAGTGCTTTTCATCGAGTTATCTAAAAATTTGTTCAATATTCATCCCTCTTAAAAAAAATTAAATTTTCCTTGTTCACTCCTAGTTTCTGGAGGGAGGCCCGTGTGGCTCCCTGAAGCTATCTTCCCAAGATTGCTTCATACACATCAGTCATGGTGAATTCAATTTGGCCTACCAGGGACCAGTGCCAGAACCTGGCCACCCTCACAGAGGTGCAGAGAGCAGGTCAGAACCTACCACCTCACCAGAAAAAGCCTCCAGGAAGTCGGTGCAACTTTACACACAACTGGAGGCTTCACAGAACACAATGCCTCAACAACTGCCAAACAACTACAGCAACCAGGTCTTGCAGAACAAGGGATTCACTCAAATGAGTTTAAAACTTGTTAGTACCACCACCAGGCGGCCTGGTCATGGCTCCCAGCCAGCTCCGGAAGTTAGTTCTGTTCCTGGTGTTGGTGTCCCCATATCAACTTGTAGTGTTTCTGGTCATGCCAGCTCATGGGTAAGTCCCAAAGTTTCAAGCTAAGTGCCAGCCATCCTTGGATTTGTTTGTTCTGTAGGGGTCATTTGCTTTCTTGCATTGTTTTCTAATTTAGTGTAGCATCACGTGCATAATTTGATTCTGGCCTGTTTTGTGGCTAAGCTCTTTGGGAATTTTGAGCTGCATGTACAGTACCTGTGGTTCTCTATCCCCGTGTGCCTGCTAATGTTCCCTTGCACAAGCAGAGCTTCCCTTCTCTGGTATGTTTGGGTGTTTGCCCTTTTGAGGCTGGCCCCACCAGGGTGGGGCCTCACCTTCTTCAGAGATCTTCCTTCCTCTGTTGGGACCTTGGTTGGGGCAGTCTTTGATTGTATTGGGGCACACTCAGGGTTCGTGTGCTTGTTTACTCGGCAAACCATGGTTGCTTCCCGTAGTCTGGTGGTTCAACTATGGTTGATGTCTGTTCCTCCAGCGAGTGGCCCCAGTGCCTGGGGTACCAGCTTGGTTTTCCTTCGGGCCTTTGCGTTTCTGTTGTGGTCCTTATAAAGCGGCCAGTCTTGCTGTTTACAAGTTTGAAGGTTGTTCATTGTTTCTGCTACCTGATGATGATCATTCATCCTGCCAGTTGGGTCGGTGATGTTTAATCCTGTGAGGTGTGTTCTCACTGGGTCTGCTATGATGGATTCTGCATCCCAATTGGAGGCTTTGCAAGCTGCCACATTTTGTGGTTTTGTGCACCGTTCAGTGTTCACTTTTTAATTTACACAAATTATACCCAGTTTTCTTACACCCACCACATTAATAAACCTTAGTCAGTATAACAGTGATGGAAATTTTATCTTGAACTCTGACCTGAAATTTCCTGTCTTGTATAATTACTGCATGTAATTGAAATTACATTCAGTATTTTTTCAGAATGAACCGACATGAACATTTAAACTTTACTTGAAAACACATCTGAAAAAAATGTCTACAAGACATTTAATAATTTCAAAAGGCCCTTGAGGTTTTGTTACCCCTCTGACCATCCCAGAGCTTATACAACATAACTAGTCATTCCTGCTTCGTGGTTACCTTATTTGTGCACTTATTCCACCATTTGTGGAAGCAACACGTCTCCATCTCTTATGGAAAGCGTGAGTCATAACACCTTGTTGAGGCATGATGTTTTGATCTACAGAAGTCATCTCATGACATGAGCATCATTGCTTTCTTCCCCATCCTGTTACATGTGATAGAGAGAGATGTTTGTGCAGGACACATTTTCACACCACAGAGCTAAGTGCTTCCTCATACATTCATTATCATTACTTCATTTTCCATGGTTATGAGGATGCTGCATCCCTGAGAATAATAATGCAAAAGATGGTTCAATATATTAATAAAATATTACAACTATCAGTAGACCATTTAGTGTGCCTTCCATGGGTAACTATGAACCTCCACCCTACGAATAATTCACAGCGACATCCCATGAAAATAGAATTACAATGTATAATGAAAAAAGGGATAAAATCACTATTAGAAATGAAAAACATAAATCTTTCAAAAGACAAAGACCAGTAGCCATGCAGTTCCAGTTGAAGAATTTTTTAACACAATGAAATGATAATGCTATACAGTACTACAATAGTGTGATATTTAAGTCTATGGCAGGAGCAATGGTAAAATTAAAGTACTGTATAAACAAAAAAAAAATGGTAAATTTTTTTAACTTATTGTGTGAGTGCTTTTAAGATAGCTAGAAGGTAGAGATAATAAAGCATGTAATCAAGGATAGACTCCCAACCCACACACCTGAAAATGAAGGAAGTGATGAGGTTTCAGTCCTTCTTGTCTGCAATCAAGGATATTTGTTTTTCTTGAGACTGAGACATCCCTACACACAGAGATCACACTAACGTGATGCATCAAATGAACAAATCCACAAGGGCCGTGACGAGGATTCGAACCTGTTTCCGGGAGCATCCCAGACACTGCCTTAATTGACTGAGCTACGACAGGGTAAAAGAGTTGAAACCGAAGTTCTACTGAACTTACTGGATCCCGTAGCCTCTCCGAGGCACAAACCAGGGTTTTACACAACTCCCCCTGCACCCGAGCTATGTCAATAGGCTGTTCTCCCTCTTCACCCTTACGATGATGTAAGGATTTGTTCACGAGACATCCCTCTTACAAATTTCTGGCATCATAAATATCCTCCTTGGGTTTATGTTAGAAGTATGACATAAGATCAAGTTATCACAAGACAAGCTGGCCCCAGGCCTAGCTTAGAGAGAATGACAACTCTGAACTGACTACAGGTAAACAACAACAAATAAATAGGAAAGAGCCACCTGATGGAGGTTTAGTTTTAGTGTCCCCCAGATATGGCACTTCTATCCCCCCCAGATATTAACCAGCCTCGTGTCAGACCTGTATTGATTTCCTATCTCTAATTACAGACTAGAAATGGAGAGTATTGATTTCTTAATGCATGTCTGTCACACAAATTATCTGAGGAAAGTAATTACTTGTTTTCATGTACAGTAGTACAAAATTCTACTTTTTATTTGTCCATGTCAATATTTGTACGATTGTCCACATACTATAGTTGCAAAAAGTACTATCTTATCAGGGGTATGGGTTGATAATAACTTCAGATACTGTAGGACATAAAATAGACTGAAAATTGGCATTTGTGGTTCATTGTTGACGAATGTGACCTGTAAGCCATTATTTGAGTTTGATAAATTTAAACTTGGAAATAAAATAGGTAAACACTAGTTTTGAAATAGTCACAGATTAATGGAACAAGTTACCAAGTACAGTAATATCATAAAAAAAAGACTTGGTGGGAAAGTTTCAAGCTTCAGTTAAAAGAATACAAGTGTGTGTGTGTGTGTGGATGAATAGAACTAGAAACTGTCATGTATGGTTCAGCTCATCCTTTTTGCAAGAAATCCATCACTATAAAGTTTTGTCAAATTATTCTACCTTATTTTATCACTCCCAAATCATCACACCATATTTCTTAAATTCTACCTTGTATCATTCTTAAATCATCACATCATGTTTGAAAGTTCACAAATTTTGTCAAATAAATTTTCTAGAGCATAGAGAAGCTGTTGGAGATAAGTGGGCCTTTGCCTGGGGAGGCAAGGAAGGTGCCACGTCAAGTCCTAGAGAGGACTGTTGAGAAGCAAATGACAGAGGAACAGAGACAGGCAGAAAGGGAGTAAGTATGAGAACACTGCACACTTATATTTTTGAGTTATACCAATACTGTATTTCATATGAAATGTATACTTAGATTAATTATCACCAACTTTAAGAATTATTAAGTGCAATGCAATGTGCATGTGACATTTTAATGTTTTGTATATAACTGAAAATGAAGTACAGCTTGTACTGAATCAATGGTAAAAAGACAAAATGTGGATAAATAAGATAAATTGTATAATTTATTTATTCCTCCATAGTGCACAGTCTGAACAGTTGGCAGCCATTTTCAAGATGATGCAAGACCAAGAAGATAAATTTGGACAGACAACAATTGATGAAATAAAAGACCAAATGAAGCTTTACTGCGGTTGATTGTATCCACCGAGGGTACAACCCAAAGTTTTTATTGTCATGACCCCCAGCATGCCATATGAACAATTTTTTTGCCAAGATAAATTAGTGATAAATTGCTTAATGTTGTTCCTAGAGGTGTTATATTAAATGTCATATCATTTATACAGTGGAACCTTAGTACTCAAATTTAATTGGTTCCAGAAGGCCGGTCAAGTGGCGATCTGTTTGAGTACCAAATAATTTTCCCATAAGGAATAATGTAAATTGGATTAATCTGTTCCAGACTACAAAAATATACATAAATACAGTAAATAAATGCAAATTTATTCTCTTTACCTGCACTTAGAGTTGATAATGTATGTGGAGGGTAGTGAGGAGAGATGTTATGGTGTGGCAGAGGAATCCCCAACCATGCAAACTAAAGGTAATTATGCTTTTGGAATTCTCTCTCTTGTCTTTTTCTATTTCCTCCTTGAAACTCTCAATGCTTTTCTTGCAACAAACTTGTCAATGATGTTTTTGAATACATACACACACACACACAGGGACCGCTTTCATATTTTTCATCTTTATTGTAGTTCTGACTAACTTTCTTTTCATTTGGCTCTTATTGCTGACCACCTTAGGCGACATGGTGCCTTGTGCTAAGTATATAAAAAATGCCTAAGAAAACATGAGAAGTTTACAGATCAGTTTAGTAGGGTTGTGCACTTAAAGGCAGCTACTAGAAAACTGATTAGTCTGTTATGGTTGTTTATGTTTGAGAGCTGAGCAAACGATCAACTACTGAGCACGAACAAAGCATTCAACTGCAGAATTGCTTGAGCTGGGATCTGTTAAAGTACCGAGGTTCCTCTGTACATGTTTTATGTCTTTTGATGCATATATGCATTTCATGTAATACATATAAATACTATGAACATTATTATAAAAGCATTTACAGTATGTATAATTGTTGCTGGAATATATGAAACCTGTCAAGATTTTTCATGTGTGCAGTCACAGTGTCAAGGAAGTATATTTCACTCATTTGGACATAAACATGTATCCCTTCGTCTCCCTTTCCCTCCCCAAGATATGTAGCAAGTTTCTGTAGCATGTGCGAGCTCAAATTGACACAAACCATTACGACAGTGTAGACATTGTTGCCAGTGTATGAGCAGGGAGGTTAGAAGGTAGATGCCAGATTGCACCATCCCAAAGTGGCCAACATATATAATCCTGTACTGTATGTAGAATTTGATTATTTGTTCCAGTATTCAATATTTAATAAATTCTTATTAAATTTAGTTCATGTTAGATTTTTCACACCTTGCATTTTTTATATTTACTGTATGCTTTGCATGAATTGATATTTTGTAACTCGTTATATAACAGACTTGCACCTAATAAATATGCACTGATATTTGCACGAGCCACGGTGGGAGGAACTAAATGTAATGAGAATGCTATCATGTCTAATGTCTCTCTCAATGGTGAGTAACAACCTATTGAGTTTGAATTATCACTTTGCTTGGCCCGTTGGGCCACCCACAGTGCACAACAAGGTAGTCGCGCGTTGCCCGTGAGCTCACAACCACACTAACGTTTATACTCTCTACAATTTTTGTACTATGTCGTTCATTTTGGTATCAAATTGTTCACAATAGAATGCTCTAATGGGATACATGCATATAAGGTCAAATAGAACAACATTACCAATACCATAAGATATTTACATAGTCATGTGAAAAAAACAGCTTTTCATCATTTTTTAAAGTCGTTATTCACTCTCGACATTGTTACACTGTATCATTCGTTCTTGTGTTTTGCTTTGTGTTTATAAAGGCAGTAACAAAAAATACCCGAGGGAAAACAACCGGAACAGGCACACGTTTCGACTGGAGGGGAAGGCCATGGCAGTCATGGGCATGGTCACGAAAACCACGAGCCACGCAGCGGTGTCGTGATGCCACACGGGGTGAATCAAGAGAATCAAATCCAGCTGAAGGCCACAATTGTCAAAGTCGATTTTATTAACAGGAACAATGACAATACCATATTATCCTTGAAATTCCAAGCATGGCATACACTCAATCATATTGTCACTTGTGACCACCGTCTCGAGGAGCCAACACATTAACATAAGAGATGATGTGCTGCTTACCAAAATGTTTTCAAACACTAATGACATTTATATACTAAAATACAATGAATTTTTTTCAATTGAATTACATTTCATAATTTTACATAACTAAATAAATATTTTAGAGTAATTATTTAAATGACTGACTACCAATAGAATTTTATAATTTCAAATTAAAATTGTAGTGAAACTACATAGTACAGTATTTGTAATATTACTAAATACTGTATAACGCTTGCTATGAGTAAGTAAACATTAGTTTATTTTAAAAGTAGTCACTTATATGACTAACAAACATCTCCCTTGTTGTTTAGCAAAATGTAAAGTGATTTGTTGTAAACTATTCAAAACTTTAAGTATAAATTAAAATTGCCTTCATAACTTAGACCAAATTTATTCCTTTGAAGATTTTTCTTATCAAATATTTTACTTGAGAGAGAGAACTTGAAGCCTGTATGCTCTGACTAGTACTGTACTGTACTTGTACAGTGAACTTCTTTGTATTAGATTGCAAGGTGGTTAGCCAAACCAAATGTGTAGATATTTTAGAAATTATAATTATTAAGATCATTACTTACCAAAGTAGGGTTACAAGTTAGTTTAGTATTGGCCTTGTGTCCTATCAACCACAGGAGCTAAGGCCACCACAATAGCTTACTGACCAACCAGCAAATATACCTATTTATACACATTGGGAAGCAGGGTACACCCCTTGTTGTATACATCCCTGATTGGTTACGTGTAAGATGACAAAAAAAAATAGTACCTGTAATGCACTATATGCAGGTAAATCTCTCCACAATACAGGCAGTATAAAGAAAGCCACAGATACTTTTAAATAAGGAGTAATAATGAGTGTTTTGGGGATATCAAACCAATTCTTATTTAAAGGCATCTATTGAGAGCAAATTTGTTGCAGTATAGATCTAATGCAAGTACTGTACATACAAAAGTCCAGAGATGTATAAGCAATACATCTTTCAATATTTATTTTAGTTAAATATAACTTTTTACAAAAGAATTTGTAGCCAACCAGGCTAGTGGAAATTGTTATTACCTGTAGCTGTTTAGAATATAATTTAAGAATGTTACAGTATTACTGTAACAGAAGATGAAATATTGGGAGACTGCACTTCTCTGCATTTCCTGAGGACCAAAATTTGACTAGAAACTAATTTACACTGCACCTATGTATATAAAGTGCAATTTAATCACCATGCTTTGGAATGCCTACAGCCCCTCTCCTGCACTACCCTATTTGTCAGTAAAGACGTAGCATAAGCTGCCAATAGATAGCGGACTGCTACTCGTCATTCAAGTTTGGATATGAAAGTGCATGGCTTAGAGGGAAAACATGGCTGTGCATGATTCTAGCTTTATCACTTCAGTGATGTAGCAATGATTGCAGACAAGTCTAAAGCACTATCTTCTTCTTGATGGTATGTGCAGTTTGCATGAAGCGCATAAAAAGCACTATTGCTCATTTTGTTCATAAATCCAGGAATGAGACTTAACATCTCAGATGTTCATATCAACATTACACAATTCATAGCCTGGAGAGTATTACAGTAAGATAAATTATATTCTATTCTCTCTTTATATATAAAGTTAACATATGTTATATTTTAGTAAAAAAAAACTAAAATGCTGTACTAAAAATTTGAATTATTTGTAATATACTAATAAAGTTGTCTGAGAACCAAATAAAATAGTAGTACAGTATGTAATATGCATTTTTAAGTTAACTTTCTTGGAGCTACCAATCATTATCACAGAATAGGTCAGATTTGCATACCTGTCAAATAGTAAAGTCCCTGAAAATGCTAAGCAAAGCTAAATTAGTCCACAACAGTCATATTTTAATAGGCTGGTTACCTTGTGTGATTTTGGGGCTCAATGTCCTGGTCCTTTACCAGGCCTCAAAGTTACTACATAAAAACTGGAAACATATATGGTACATTATGAGATTTACTAAAAAGTACAAAGCTATTAATTTTGTATTTCATTACATTTTTGATCTGTAAAATAAAAAGTAATACTGTATACAAATAATTATGCAGAGACAAATTCAGAAATAACAGTAAGTAAGTATTAGAAATGGGACTATTTACATTTTCCGTATAAGAGAAAATACAAAAATATGAATACAACTGAACATAAGAATAAAGGAAACTGAGGCAGACCCTTTTTATATCCACCCAAACTCTCACGTATGTTAAACACGTTTAATCTTGAAAACACTCGAGGGGGGGGATGGATCCCACATCAATCATAGCACCGGGTAATTGGTTCCACAAAGCAACAACCCTATTTCTAAACCAGTATTTACCCCAGGTCTTTACTGAATCAACATTTAACAAAACAATGGATAGAAATTGGATAATAATTTTACTGCCTTTCTAATGTACCCTTTGTTATACCCTTCAATCATATCACCCCTTATGCCTTGTCTTTCAAGAGAATGTAGCTCTTTTTCATGTCTTCATAAGGAAGGTTTCTAATGCCTAGGATTAACTTGTACATTGTCCTCTATATAGAGTCAACTGAATTTGTCATTCTATAGTATAGAACTATATGCTATTGTTCCAAACTGAGCTGCATAATCTAAATGGGACGTAACGTAGGCAAAAATAAGGCTGAAGATTAACATTAGGCGTCTTATTGCTAACACCTCTAGATATGAATCTCAATATTCTATTTGCTTTATTCAGAGTTCCTGTATACTGATAAAAGATGAGGCCAAATTATGAATAAAATTTTATTTACATGATGCCATTTTTATGTTTAAAGCAATAAGTTAACCTAGACTGTTACATGTTTCCCTCATGTTACTTTAATGTAAAGTATCATAAAAATTCATAAAACTAACCGGTGAACATATTTTCTATTTTTTATATAAAATCCACATTATTTTTAGCATTTCTCTAATGTTTTTATAAAAAATACCGAAATTCCAATCTGTTCGCTTCTATATACATATGTACACTTGGTGCTCTATTTCAAGATAACCAATTCATTGTCATCAAACTTGTTATTAATCCAAGACCACCAAATCATTGTCATCATACTCATCGTCATCATCTGGCTGTGACATTTTAGGCTCTTCTGACTCTGGTTCCATGTCTTCCTCCTCCTCTTCTTCCTCCACTTCACTGGATGAAGGAGGCTGTTCAACTGTCTGTCTGTTGAACAGGTCAAGAGTAACCGCTGACAAGAATGCTGGGTAGGAGTTCTCGTGGCGAAGATAGGCATCAATGAGGTCGTCAAGCGTGCTTGAGAAGTCAGTTTCCAACAGCTGCAGTTCTTTGTTTGCAGTTTGCTGAAAAATCAAGTGATACTTTTCTAATAAAAAACTTCCCCATAATTCATAAATAATAAACAATGTGATGTATTTATCAAAATATTAATAATGATCATTATAATTTTGTCCCTGACCACACTATGATAGGAAATGGGGTAATGATAATGATTCACTGCAGGTACAGTATTAGTTTCTATATATAAATTATAACATGACTAGAAGCATTCTGAGAAACAGGATCACACTGATTCATTTCTGCCAGAGAAGCCTTCAAGAGGCATTTGTGATGATTTTTTTTTCAAGGGTGGGGGGGGGGGGGTTAAATGGCATTTCTGTAAAATCTTGGAAAGCCAGACCCACAAAAATTACACCAAAAAGATATATTGTAATACCTATATAATAGCTTTTTAGTTTAACCCAGACCATCAAAATGGGCTGTCATGTTAACAATGTACAAGTTAAATACCGACTACAAAAAAAACAGTGCTGAATGTAATGAAACACCATTTTCTGGGTGAGCCCCAGAATCATATTTGCTAGCATGTACAATGCATTCCTATAACAGAAATTTAAGCTCAATATCGTAGCTTAAGTGAAAAACATGGTAATAAGTTAGTCACACTTTGAAACTACTTTCTATAAATGTATGAGGAGACACTCAAATTATTTTGTTCTATAAAATATCCTTAAACAGGTGCATCTCTAGTGAAGGTGTGTCCTATATGCTAGCACATATGGTATTTATATGGCGCTCTTATCTTTCAAGGGTAACCATTTATCCAATTACTGTAGTTGGGACATTGAATGTGGATGAAAGCTACAAAGATAACCAGGCAAGTATAATGTATTATTCTCTTCACTGTCCCCAGTGCCACATCCTGTGAACAAATGTGGTGTAACATACCTCAAACATAAAGAAGTCGTCGGCAGATTCTGCATACATATTGATCAGTTTATAATGGTTATCCCCTGACACATCTACTCTATAGCCAGTTAATCGATACACAACCTCACGCATCTCCAATGATTTGCGCTTGAATACTTCCAACAGGCGCTTGTTCCGTATTTCCGTTGATTTGATTTTTTCCTTTAATTCTGAAAAAATAATTATTCAAACAATAAGATCATTTAAACAAAAAAGTATAAGTAGACACTATGTAAAAGAGTACTTGAAAACAGCTTGTGATAAAATAGTATTCAAAATAAATAAATAAATAAATAAATATATATATATATTTTTTTTGTTTCTAAAATATATGGAAGGGGGACCCATAGCCTCGGAGGAAACCAAGCATAACGCATTAGAGGGAATGTTTAGATCCCCTCCAATACAGTTTCTGTGTGCTTTATTTATTTATTTATTATATATATATATATATATATATATATATATATATATATATATATATATATATATATATATATATATATATATATATATATATATGTCGTATATAGCCAGAACGCACTTCTCAGCCTACTATGCAAGGCCTATAAGTTTTCATGAATTAATGTTTTTCGACTACCTAACCTACTATATATATCATATATCTATGTTAATTTTAACTCCAATAAAAAAAAATTGACCTCATACATAATATATATTTCATATTTCAGAAAAAAATATATATTATATTGGCTTATTAGGCAAATCGGGCCTTGCATAGTAGGCTGAGAAGTGCGTTCTGGCTACTAGGTACGACATATATATATATATATATATATATATATATATATATATATATATATATATATATATATATATATATATATATATATATATATATATATATATATATATATATATATATATATGTCGTACCTAGTAGCCAGAACTCACTTCTCAGCCTACTATGCGAGGCCCGATTTGCCTAATAAGCCAAGTTTTACTGAATTATTATATTTTCTCTAATTTTTTTCTTATGAAATGACAAAGCTGCCCATTTCATTATGTATGAGGTCAATTTTTTTTAACTGGAGTTAAAATTAACGTAGATATATGACCGAACCTAACCAACCCTACCTAACCTAACCTAACCTATCTTTATAGGTTAGGTTAGGTTAGGTAGCCGAAAACGTTAGGTTAGGTTAGGTTAGGTAGGTTAGGTTGTCGAAAAAACATTAATTCATGAAAACTAGGATTATTAGGCAAATCGGGCCTTGCATAGTAGGCTGAGAAGTGAGTTCTGGCTACTAGGTACGACATATATATATATATATATATATATATATATATATATATATATGTCGTACCTAGTAGCCAGAACTCACTTCTCAGCCTACTATGCAAGGCCCGATTTGCCTAATAAGCCAAGTTTTCATGAATTAATTGTTTTTCGACTACCTAACCTACCTAACCTAACCTAACCTAACTTTTTTGGCTACCTAACCTAACCTATAGTGATAGGTTAGGTTAGGTTAGGTAGGGTTAGTTAGGTTCGGTCATATATCTATGTTAATTTTAACTCCAATAAAAAAAAATTGACCTCATACATAATGAAATGGCTAGCTTTATCATTTCATAAGAAAAAAATTAGAGAAAATATATTAATTCAGGAAAACTTGGCTTATTAGGCAAATCGGGCCTTGCATAGTAGGCTGAGAAGTGCGTTCTGGCTACTAGGTACGACATATTATATATATATATATATATATATATATATATTTTTTTTTTCCAGGGAAATTTTTGCATGGGTCCTAAGCCTCTGGCTGGCCCCACTAAGTGTTGCTTGTTTCTGTTTTACTTAGGCGGAGTGTGAGCATTTATGACTCGTATGGTCGCTTCAGTAAGATTTTGCCCCATGTGTTTAACAACTTCTGCTCTGTTGAATCTAAGTTGAAATCTTATGGGGTTTGAAACTCTGCACTGTGTTAGATAATGTTCCAGTGGTCTGTCGGGCATTTCTCCACAGTGCTGACAATAAGACTACTGGGGTCCATAGTTCCAGTCTCCTAGAATCCAGGTAAATGGAATGTTTATTTTCACAGAAGTGTGGATGACAATTTATAATGCATATAAATAATAAATTATGATTTATACAAAATGTTCATTACTTTTCCACTTGTACAGTTCAGTCAGAAGCCAAGTTACCATGATGACTACCATATAGGCCAAGCTGAGGATGATGATATAAGAAATGAGACGGCATGTCACCAAATGGTTTGGGATGTGGCAGTAACCTGAAGCCAAGGTGTGGTAATTAAGTACTCACCAAGTTGTGCTTGCAGGGGTTGAGCTCTGGCTCTTTGGTCCCATCTCTCAACTGTCAATCAACTGATGTTTATTGACAGATTGATTCATGAGCCTACGTGTCTCTATCATGTCTACATTTGAAACTGTGTATGGAGTCAGCCTCCACCACATCACTTCCTAATGCATTCCACCTGTTAATTACTCTGACACTGAAAAAGTTCTTTCTAACGTCCCTGTGGCTTATCTGGGTACTCTGTTTCCACCTGTGTCCTCTTGTTTGCGTACCTCCTCCTGTATTAAACAATTTATCCTTATCTACCTTGTCAGTTCCTCTGAGAATTTTGTGGGTAGTGATCATGTCTCCCCTCACTCTTCTGTTTTCCAGTGTCATGAGGTGCATTTCATGCAGCCTTTCCTCGTAACTCAAGCCTCTTAGTTCTGGGACTAGCCTAGTTTCAGAAATTCAATATATTCAGACTATATCTCTGAACTTTTTCCAGCTTCATCTTGTGCTTGATAAGGTATGGGCTCCATGCTGGAGCTGCATACTCCAAGATTGGTCTTACATATGCGGTGTACAAGGTTCGGAATGATTCCTTACACAGATTCCTGAAGGCTGTTCTGATGTTAGCCAGCTTCGCATATGCCGCAGATGTTATTCTTTTTATACTCGTTTCTTTTTTTTGAAGGGCTTTTTGCCCTTGTATGCATTCTGTATATCCCTTTTGAGAATTCTTTTGCGAACAATTTGATACCAAAATCAACAACGTAGCACCAAAATTGAGGTGAGAAAACTGAAAAGAGTAAACACATTTTAGTACGATTGTGTGCTCATGGATAACGCTAGGCCGATTTTCGGGTGCTGCGGGTGGTATGCCAGGCTTTTTGACCTTATATGCATATATCCCTTTAGACAATTCTACTGTACTGCAAACAATTTGATACCAAAATCAACGACGTAACACGAAAATTGAGGTGACGAAACTGAAAAGAGTGTACACATTTTAGGGCGGGTGAGCGCTCACAGGAAACGCCAGGCTGACCTTGGGGTGGGCTGGGCCTCAGGCACCGGGCCAGGCAAAGTGTTAAGTGTAATTCCCAATGTGTTAACTGATAATGAAGGTGCTCAAACTATGAAATAATTAGTCAGACTAATTACAGTACAGTAACTGTTATTCTACCTAGCTAAGAGAAGCACAATTAGCCCAAGAGTATCATAATTGCATATTTATCAGGCTTAAAATGATGTTAACAAGTCCAAAATAGACAGATGTAACCAGTAACAGAGAACAGTCTATGAAGCAGGGTAGTAATGAGTAGCAGAGAAGAGCAGTTCAAGGTTAAATGGTAAGAAGAAACTTTTTTTATCTGTAAATACATAATCATTACAACACTTAACAATATGAATATTTTATTATCTATAAAACAAATATCAAATTCACTTGAATGGAATAATTAACCTGTACAGTATATTTTTAAGTAACTTACCATTGACTTTCCTGCTAGAGTGAGCTTCATCGCTCAACTTTATCCCAACCTTCTCTGTGATGTTAAGTGCCTCGCCGTCTTCTAAAAGTCGAACGCGCTCCTGTAAAGCTTCATTTTCTTTCTGTATACGTTGAATCTCTGTCTCACGATTTTTAACTGCCTTTGCCAAAGGATTGTTCCTAAGCAAAATATCAATTAATTAGACCTGCTGAATTTGTTATATTTCATCTCTTAATTATAACAATGTAAAATATTGAATGTAATGAAACACCTCAAGAGCCCCAGTGGCTCCCTGAAGCCATCTCGCTGAGATTGCTCCATTCTACAGCCCGTCCTTGCATACAAAGATCCAAGCTCGTTAATCCAACTGCCAACCCCGCCGGTTTATGAATGAAAAGTTGTTTATACACGACTCACAGCTGATAATATTCAAACACTTCCAAAACAAGTGCTTTGCTCACGTCCTCTGTTCGAACCACAATTCTATAAATGCTTCATCCACATACAGTACTTCAAATACAAATAATCACCAACAGAACCTAAACACCTAACCAATGCCTAACTATACATATAATTTTCATGTATAGTAATATTAATTTATATATGAGAACAAATCAATTTGAATACACAGTACCTGTATGTTAAAATTGATGAATGCATCTGGGGAGGACGCTGCTTTAAACAGCCTACTGTGAGGACGGGTTGCATTCCAATAGGTCACATCAGTCACAGGAATTCTGCTTGACCTACCAGAGATCAGAGCCCTCCCCTATTTCCTTCCCCGAGAAGGCCGAGCTACACCCTGAGCTAAACCCTGACCAAACTCCGAAAACTTCAGGTGCTTCAAAAATGGAGGAGGAGGGGGAAAGACTAGAAGCTGGGTGAACCATGCCTGCAGGGGAAAAGAATTCCCCTGCAGGTGCAGACTTAATTCTGGTGAAGGTTACCAACTCTTCCAATTCTGGGTCCCTAAACACCATAGGGAACAACTTTGGGGCATCCAATGTATCACAATGTCAGGAGCATCTAATATAAGTAAACCATGCCCATAAAGCAACAACTGTATGAAATTTTTTCAATCTCAAAGCCAAATCAGTCAAAGCAGAAACCCAGAGAGAATAAACCTCGCAGGACTCAGGATTGTAGGTGTCACCAACCCAGCAAACAGCATGGGGAAGGTAAAGAGAATAATCATCATCTAGTAGCAGGATCATCATCAATATGAGTACCTTTTGAGCTTGCATGCCAGAGACCCACAGGAAAATTACCAGGACTACTGAAAGTCAAACGAGTGGACAGAACTCCCGCAACAAACTAAGACCGTGGCATGCTGTAAAAACAAACGTGTGAACCCCAGTGCACACTAGGGTTTGTAGGGGTTGTAGAACCCCTACAAAATACTAACAGGAATCAACCAAATTGACAAAGAGGAATTCCTGAAACCAGCAACTTCAAGAATAAGAGAACACAGATTCAAGCTAAGGAAACAAAGGTGCCAAAAAAATATTAAAATTTTTTTTTTTTTTTTTTTTTTGCAAACAGGGTGGTAGATGGTTGGAACAGGTCAAGTGAGGTGGTGGAGGGCAAAACCGTCAGTAGTTTCAAAGCGTTACACGACAGAGTAGTGGGAAGATGGGACACCATGAGGTACTTCTCATCCTGTAACTACACTTACGTAATTACACTAAACGCAAAGCCCTAATCCAAGGGCCCAAACAGAGGAGTCAAAAACTTGTGAATATCCCAAAGTGAGCCTCTCCATCCTGGTGGCCAGGCCTCACAGGGACAAAAACACCAGAAGGTTTTCAGGCTAGGCAGGTACAACAAAGACCGAGACCGTGTGTTAAAGATAGTGTTTGCAAACAAGAACACAAAGGAGATGATCCTCACAAAGAAACGCCACCTGCAACATGTGGGAGAAATCAAAAAAGTATTCCTCCAGAGGGACATGACAAGGGAGGAGAGAGCCATGGCGGCAGAAGCAAGGAAGAGGTGCAGGGCGAGAGGGGAAAACCAGGAACTCACAGCTCCCAACACAACATCCCCAGAGGTGAGGGGGAACCCACAACCAGATACCCAGTAACACCAGAGGGGAGGGCAACCACACCACCCTCCTCTGCATAGAGAACCCCCCTGTCCCCACTCAAAAGCTCAGCCAAATCTCCCTCCCCCCACACCCCATTCCCACCCTGCTACCCCTCCCCTTGTCCCGCCATGTCACCCCTCCCCCCTTTTCCTTCTGGTCCTCCCTCCCCCTTCATCCCATACCCTCCCTGTCCCCCCCAGTATCCTCTGAGACCCTGTTATCCACCTCACAAATCCTCACACCCATGGAACAGCTTCCCCCACCAGCAGAACACTCACCAAGGAGGCGATTTGAGAAGGGACAGAAGAAAGTGAGCCTCAGGGCAATGTAAGCTAACATAGATGGAATTTCAAATAAAGCAAATGAGCTTGGAGAATAGGTACTAGAGGAAAACCCAAACATAATAGCACTAACAGAAACAAAGCTAACGAAAACCATAACAAATGCAGTGTTCCCACAGGATTATGTTATGAAGAAAGAGAGAGAAGGAAGAGGAGGTGGTGGTGTAGCTCTGCTGGTAAGAAAGGGCTGGGACTTTGAGGAGATGGTTATTCAGGGCTGTGAGGGTTTCAGTGACTACATAGCAGGTACCATAACTGGAGGATAAAAAATTATAGTCGTAGTCATATATAATCCACCACTGAATGACAGAAGACCCAGACAGGAATATGATAAACATGGCCACCATTAACATAATAGAGAGCAGCTTCTGTTGCCAGCAGGAATGGATCTGGACTGCTAATCATGGGAGACTTCAACCACGGGAAAATAGACTGGGAGTACAGAGATCCGCATGGAGGCCCAGAAACATGGAGAGCTAAGCTGCTGGATGTGGCAACAAGACACTTTCTAAGCCAGCACATCAAGGAACCAACAAGAATGAGAGGAGAAGATGAACCAGCCATGCTCGATCTGATATTTACCCTAAATGAGTGGGATATAAGGGAAGTTAGGATGGAAGCACCCTTGGGAATGAGTGACCACAGTGTATTAAATTTTGAGTACCTGGTAGAGCTAGGAATTATCTCCCCCCAAAAACAACTAGAAAACAAAAGGCTACCATACCGAAAGGGCAACTATGAGGAGATGAGACGTTTCCTGAGGGAAATACCTTGGTACACAGACCTCAGAGATAAGTCTGTACAAGATATGATGGACTATGTCACCCAAAAGTGTCAGGAGGCAGTAAACAGGTTCATTCCGTCCCAAAGGGAAAAATCCGAGAAGCAACAGAAGAATCCATGGTATAATAGGGCATGTATGGAAGCAAAGGGACTGAACAAAAGGGCGTGGAGGAACTTCCGGAATAACAGAACACCAAAAAGCAGAGAGATACCAGAGAACCAGGAATGAGTATGTTAGGGTAAGAAGAGAAGCAGAGAAAAATTATGAAAATGATATAGCAAACAAAGCCAAGACCGAACCAAAGCTGCTCCATAGTCACATCAGGAGGAAAACAACAGTGAAAGAACAGGTAATGAAACTTAGAACAGGCGAAGACAGGTATACAGAGAATGACAAAGAGGTGTGTGAAGAACTCAACAAGAGGTTCCAGGAGGTCTTCACAATAGAACAAGGTGAGGTCACTGTGCTAGGAGAAAGGGAAGTAAACCAGGCGACCTTGGAAGGGTTCGAAATTACGAGTGAGGAGGTCAAGAGACACCTGCTGGATCTGGAAGTTAGCAAGGCTGTTGATCCAGACAGGATCTCGCCATGGGTACTGAAAGAGTGTGCAGAGGCACTTTGCTTGCCACTCTCCACAGTGTATAGTAGATCACTGGAGACGGGAGACCTACCAGAAGTATGGAAGACAGCGAATGTGGTCCCAATATACAAAAAGGGCGACAAGCAAGAGGCACTGAACTACAGGCCAGTGTCCTTGACTTGTATACCATGCAAGGTGATGGAGAAGATCGTGAGAAAAACACTAGTAACACATCTGGAGAGAAGGGACTTCGTGACAAATCACCAACATGGATTCAGGGAGGGTAAATCTTGCCTGACTGGCTTAATAGAATTCTACGACCAGGTGACAAAGATTAAGCAAGAAAGAGAAGGCTGGGCGGACTGCATCTTCTTGGATTGTCGGAAAGCCTTTGACACAGTACCGCATAAGAGGCTGGTACATAAGCTGCAGAGACAGGCAGGTGTAGCTGGTAAGATGCTCCAGTGGATAGGGAAGTACCTAAGCAATAGGAAGCAGAGAGTTACGGTGAGCGGCGAGATCTCAGATTGGCGTGAAGTCACTAGTGGAGTCCCACAGGGCTCTGTACTCGGTCCTATCTTTGTTTCTGATATATGTAAATGATCTCCTGGAGGGTATAGATTCATTTCTCTCAATGTTTGCTGACGATGCTAAAATTATGAGAAGGATTAAGACAGGAGGACTGCTTGAGGCTTCAAGAAGACCTAGACAAGCTGAGGGTATAGATTCATTTCTCTCAATGTTTGCTGACGATGGAGAAGGATTAAGACAAGGAGGACTGCTTGAGGCTTCAAGAAGACCTGACAAGTTAAGGAATGGTCAAACAAATGGTTGTTAGAGTTTAATCCAAGCAAATGTAATGTAATGAAGATAGGCTTAGGGAGCAGGAGGCCAGATACTAGGTATCATCTTTGAGATGAAATTCTTCAGGAGTCAGAGAGAGAAAAAGACTTGAGGGTTGACATCATGCCAGACCTGTCCCCTGCAGCTCATATTAAGAGGATAACAGCAGCGGCATATGCCAGGCTGGCCAACATAAGAACGACATTCAGAAACTTGTGTAAAGAATCATTCAGAACTTTGTATACCACATATGTCAGGCCAATCCTGGAGTATGCAGCCCTAGCATGGAGTCCATATCTAGTCAAGGATAAGACCAAACTGGAAAAGGTTCAAAGGTTTGCCACCAGACTAGTACCGGAGCCGAGAGGTATGACCCGCCAAACACACACCGAAACTACGACGTTGATACAACGTTCAAACAAGTTTTAACACCTCCTAAGCAGTTATAACAACCAATATAGCAAGTTGTAACAACATTCTAATACGTCATAAACACGTTAAGCCAAGATGTAACAACTTTATTACAAGTTGTAACAAGCAGAAAATAGAGAATTTTGCTTTGTGTTTCCAGGGGAGCTACGAGGAGAGGCTACGGGAATTAAACCTCACTTCGCTGGAAGACAGAAGAGTTAGGGGGGACATGATCACCACATTCAAGATTCTGAAGGGAATTGATAGGGTAGATAAAGACAGGCTATTTAACACAAGGGGCACACGCACTAGGGGACACAAGTGGAAATTAAGTGCCCAAATGAGCCACAGAGATATTAGAAAGAACTTTTTTAGTGTCAGAGTGGTTGACAAACGGAATGCATTAGGAAGTGATGTGGTGGAGGCTGACTCCATACACAGTTTCAAGTGTAGATATGATAGAGCCCAATAGGCTCAGGAACCTATACACCTGTTGATTGACGGTTGAGAGGCAGGACCAAAGAGCCAGAGCTCAACCCCCGCAAGCACAATTAGGTGAGTACCAGAGGCAGAGGAGGGCAGTAAACCAGGCAGCCTTAGAAGGGTTCAAAATTATGAGAGATGAGATCAAGAGACACCTGTTGAATCTGGATGTGAGAAAGGCTGTTGCTTATTCTTACTATCCCCTTCTTTCCTATTACTATCCCCTTCTTATTGGGCGAGTATAAATAGGCAATGGGCCAATAGGCCTTCTGCAGTTGCATTTGTTCATATGTCATTCCTATATATCTCTTATTACACCTACCTTTCATACCTTTTGCCTGCATTTTCTTCTCTTAAGTTTTTTGTCTCCTATTTCTCTTGCCTATTTATTGCCTAGCCTCCTTCCCTCATTGCAATCATAGAAAGGACGGACCGAAACTCGTTGTCCTAACTTTCTAGTGTGTGGTTTGGTCAACATTTTATTAATTATAATTATATAGTTTTGTTCTATATTGGTATAGTTAAGTAATTTCCATTGTGAAGGACAGGAAGCTTGTATTAGGCATTTTGAAGTCCCCCCTTGGTCAACTACTGACCTTTTCCAGGATGCAACCCACAACAGTTGCCTAACTCAGGGACACGTATATTACAGGTAGGTGAACCCAGGTCTTCTGGTTGTGAGCTGAGGACGTAGTGACTGCCTGTTCAGCCAGACTACTACTACTTGCACCCCACAACCTTATTTTAATAGTGTTGCTCTCCCTTGAGATTTGAAATCTGGACCACTGGGGTTCCTCATCCAATAGTCACCACTTTTGTCTGCCACAACCACTAAAAATATAATGTTAATTTCAAAGCAAACATAAAAACTAAGAGATTGAGATCAAAAGCATGCAATTTGAATCTAATCATCACTGATCTAAACCTAAAATAATGCTACCCTCATAAGTGCCCACAACACAAGATCTTCTAAACTCTTCACTCTCAACAGTCCTTACTTATTTATGTGCACCTTTCCCAGCCCTCTAGTTTTTAGCTTCATCAACAAATAATATCATTATCATCCATGTAATCACCAATACTGTATATTATCTATGTACAGTATATGCGAGTTATTATTATTATTAAGTGCAGTATTTCCTTACTTTCCTTTCCAAGGATGGTGATGGTCTATCCACAAATCTTCCCATTATTTTGCCACTCAACTATGTACACCCAAAGCTCAACTTACTCAAAATGCAGAACCTTGGTCTTCGTTGGATCATAGTCGCCCTTGAGTGCACGGTGCTCAAGCCTCACTTCCAAGATTTCCTTGTCTTGTGTCAATTTAGCAATCTCATTCTTTAGTTCCACTACCTTCTTTTCTAAAGATGAAATCTTCTCTGATTCGTCTTCTCTTGTCTAAGAAACAGCAATTACAGACATTTAAATTAATTTAAACATTCATTTTTATATTTTCTTTCTAAATAAATACATGAATAGCATATCTGTCAAGTTATTTTTTGAATGCAGCAAAACCTCGTTTGAACAAATAATTTAGTCTGCAGTTCATCATAAAATTATGTTAAGATAATGTGAGAATATGTTAAACTGATATTCATTACATTTGTGTATTTAAGAATTAACATGTATTTTTTACTTTTAAGGTACAGCTGGAAAAGGTCATCAAGGCCACTAGTGTTAGTGGCTCTCAGGTAATCTCGGGTAAACTCAGGTAATGACTTTTAGTGCATATACATGCAGTTAATATAGTATGTATAGAAATTATGCATGTTTATCTATCTTCTGGGATGCTGATGAAACTTTAGTGTGGTATAAATGTTACCCAAATGAAAGATTATGATTTTTTAATAAATTTATATTACAACAGTTTTCAAAAGTATCTTTCTTAGCAAGAAACCTGGTTGCTCTCAAAGTTCAGATGCTACTGGTCCCAAGAGGAACTATTAATTATAAGAAAGTATTAAGACAGTATAACTATACAGCACTTGGAAGGGATACGATAACAAGGAATTCTGCAAAAAGCAAGGCCATCATTGTGGTCCCACGAGGAAGACCCGCAAGAGCTAGAACACTCTGCACCTGCGCAGTAGGGATCTCTTCAAATGTATCTGTTGGGTCATTATGGTGCTGGGCAGAAACTGCAGCACTCTCATCTAACCTCAAAATAACTAGGAGGATTTATTGTATCAAAATTAAAGCCCTTCCAAATGCTACTTGGCCTCACATGGCCCAATAGCCCATTCCTGCCCACATGACTGAAGGTCAACAGGCAGGACCAAAGAACTAAAACTCAACTAAAGCTCAATAGTTGGACCCACAAAATCAGATGAAAATCAAAATTCTGTATCTTGCCCCCTCTTATGAAAATGAGGGGGCAAGGTACAGAATTTTGGCACATGGTTGGAGGGTTAATGTGAGATTTCATTAATATGAAATATTGTTAAAAGTGAGGTTTTACTGCAACTCTGATTACTCTTAACAATTTAGTAAAACTTGAACAGAATTTGCATTTTAATTTACCTGTCGTATTATGGTTTCATCTATTTTAAGTTTGCTTGATGTATCCAGTTCACTTTCAAGGCGTTGAAGCTCCCGTTTGTATAATTCCAAGTGATCTTCTAGCTTTGTTATTTTTTCTTGGCTAACAACTGAATGGTTGATTGTTACCTCCGATTCATAGGACGAGAGGATGCTCTTCAAACTATCACGTTCCTTTTGTAAAAAAAGAATAGCCAAAGTTTACAATATATGGGAGACAGATGTTTTTTTGTTTAATAAGAAATATGAATTAAACAATAAGGTAAGAACATATTGACAGACTACCTTGGTAACCAAAATGAGTTTCCTCTGAAGTCTCTTGATGAGCTGAGCATTCTGCTGGGTATTGAACAGCTGCTTCTGTAAGTTGGACTTAAGCTCCTTAATCTCAGCCTCTTCTGATGCCCGACTGCTCTCTAGTGATTTCTGACTGTGGGATCACAAACAGCTTAGCAAATAATTATTTGGAATTTAGGTGTAGAAACTCTACTTTTAGCTGTATTTATTTTACAAGTATACAGTACTTACACTTGGCTATTGGCAACATATCAAAATAGTACTGTATGTCTATAGCAAGATATGGATCTGCTCTATCTGAACAAGATTAGTGTATATTATCGCCATATTGATTTTTAGTAATATTCCTGCAGTCAAATGGCACATATTATCTACCTGCATTGCAACCTTACTTTAGACCTGAGAATGTGAGGTCAAGCACTAAGTTTATACCACCTACGTATATAAACCATTCATATAGTATCTACTTCATCATTAACTCAATGAATGCCGAGATACAGTTCCTGAACCCATTATGTGCCTCTGTAACCCTTTCATCACCACCCATTAAACATGTATGTAATGCATAATTAAACAGATGCATTAAACCTCACATAATATAACAAATGTATTGAGGTTGGAAAATGCAGCAGTGGGTAGCAGCCAGCTACCACAAACAGTGCACCCATCACCTCTAACAACCTAGCAGAAGTCCAGCTTCTTGGTGCACATTGTGACACTTTGGCCCTGTTAGTTAAGAACATTAGAGGTCAAAGCAGGTTCATAATACTCCAGAGAAGAGATCTTATCCTAAGCAATGACTGTGTGAAGGATTTTCCAACAGAAAAATGAAGGTGGCAAACAGAGGCAACATATCAGGTTGGAAAAATATCACTAGCCGAGTACCAGAAGGTTTAGTACTATATCATATACTGTATATACTAACATCAATTTAGTGAGAAAAAATACTGGAGCTAAATAATATAATACAGCTGAACACATCAGACATGGCTGCACTAACAGAGATGAAACCCAAAGATGATATCTTAAATGAAATCATATTCCCAGAAGGCTACTCAATTTGGAAACAGGACTTTTGATAATTTTTTTGTGTGACATGGTCACTTTTGCCCAAGGAGGCAAAAGTGACCATGTTTTTTTGGAAGTAAAGTATGCAATCTAGAAGAGAATGAGGAAAATGAAGCTGTTGAAAAACCTGATTTCAGGAGAGGATACTAAGGGAAACTGGAGGAGGGTTATCGTTTAATTCTATTCATTAATTAATTAAATTTTGTTGTCGAGTGCAGCTCACTTTTCAAATAAGAACCCTCAAACACCATTTCAGTTGACCTAAGATGCAAGAACACAGTAGCATACATAGCTGGGGGTCACAGAGGAGATGGAACCACGGGTGGAGGGAGGAAAGAGATGTTTATTACATAGAAAGAAATGAAGAAACTAACAGGTTCAAATTTTCAGACTGATAAACGATGGAAACATCCTCATTCTTTAGTTAGAAATATGAATTGAGCACAACTTACCTGGCCCGCAGCTGTGTTATACCTTTAGTAAGGGTTTCATCTCCTCGCTTGAGCCTGATAATGTGATTCTGTAGTTCTTGAGGCGTAGCTTTGTGTTCCAACCTGAACTCCTCTTGAGCCACTGATTCATACTGTTGCACAGTTTCCTGAAATTTGTAATAAAAACATTTCTATTCTTTCTTCAGTGACATTCAGAATATAATAAGGATAAAATAAATTAGATACCAAAACAAACAATTAATTATCAAACTGGTAATTATTTATAATCATGTATAATGTTCAGAAAATATTGAAAGAAAATAATGGAATTGAACCCCCATCCCTGAACTTCTTGGGAACACACACTGTGTGTTCTAGAATAGGGGTTGGATCCCATCGTATGGCATTACTATTTTCTCATAGATATACAGTATTACGTTCTTGTGAATTCCTTGTACTTTTTTAATGCCATTCTGTCCCTGGCATCACTTAGGTAACTGGGTAACTACCTTCAACAAGTCATTTTCAGCCTGGAGATGGGCATTTTCTTTACAGCGTTTCTCCAAGAGCTTTATCTGCTGTTGAGCACTAGTGAGTGTTTCGTCTATGAGTTCAGTGTTCCTTGCAGTGTCTCTGTAATGACCAATATACAAAATTATTAAAAATATATTAAAATATTAATAGTAAAAATAATATGAGATATTCTACTCAGACTAAGGTAGTGTCTACCAAATTCAAGATACAGTACTTGCAATACAATTAAGATTTGTCAAGCAATATAAGCTAGTTTCTACCCAATATGACAGAAGTATTCATTCAAAATTAGAGAGGTCATTCAAACAAGATTAACTCCTTGATTGTGCAAACGTTACATGATACACATCTGTGTCACATAGAAAAAATGGTCTCCAAAACAAGATTTTTGCTTTTCTATACTGTTAAAAATCAAGCCCTAAGTATAGGATCAATGTTCCAAATATAATGTCACATTTCAAGATAGTAGACGTTTACTGGAGGCCTCAAATATCTATTAGACACACCATGTACCTGTAGGAGTTTCAAACATTGCAAAGTACTAAAACATCTCAGGATGGTGTTCACACCATGGGTATAACATCTGATGATGGTATGTGCATTTTAAGGATTAAACACCCCAAAATTTAAATCAAGTAAATACAAGAAAACCTTGTGCACTGATCATATTTTTCACTCATCCACACACCTACCTACACTGTACTTACAAATCTTGTTCTTTATCTTGTACATAAAATGAAACCTTACTGGGTGTATACCTGGCCTGAGGCCAGGCTTGATAGTGACAACTAGGTCCAACAGATTGTTACTTGATTGTTAGTGCTGTACTGTAACTTGATTGTTAGTGGATATGTAGGCCTACAGGACTACACATCCACTACAGCCCAGTTGGTCTGGCACTTCTTGCAGGAACTTGTCTGTTGTTTTTTAATACATCACTTATGTTCAGGCATTATTTCATAGGTTTGCTGGGAGGATACTGCACAGCTGGGAACCTCTGATGTTTGTACAATGTTCTTTAATTGTGCCAATAACATCTCTACTCTTCACTGCCACCTGCAGACTTGCCTCTCACACTGCCACAGTTTAGCTAAAACATGTTTTCACAATGCCTATTACAGTATTATTGAATTTACCCAAATACTGCCATCTCTTTCCAGTCGCCATGAAAGAGACAGGAAGCCAGCAGTTTGTCAGAACACGATTATCTTCTTTGAATTCCCTAAATTCAAGCAGAAAAATAGACAAAACAACACACTTCTTCATAAGTTTAATTAGGTCTAGTACTTTCAGTACAATCATACAAACCTTAAAAACTTATTGTCATCTTTTAACTTGGCCGATTCTTTCTGCAGGATTGCCATCTTTCTCACCGTCGCCTCAAAAACGTCAGATTTTTTCTTTAACATCTCTAGCTCTTCTTGTTGTACTTTAACTTCCTGTAAATAGTACAAATTTAACACAGTAACCACTGAATAAAATAATTATAAGCTAGACTGTGTGTGTACTTGAGGAGTTCAGGGATGTGGTTCCAATCATATTCTAAATCTTCAATATTTTCTCAGGTAATTTCAGCAGTTAGAAGATTTTGAGAATCAAGAAAACATTAAACCTACAATTTATCTCACAATTACATTCTTCACAGAAAAAGATTAAAATCATTTCGCTTGAAATAATGTACAGTATATTATTTTTAATAGACAATGATAATCAGCATTCTTAGGATAGAGCAATGGTTTCTCACCTTAATTTTTGCCTTTGCTTGATCAAGCTCTAGCTTCAGAGTTTCAAACTGTAGCTGACTGGATGTCAACTCTCTCAACTTGTTCTGGGAAGCAGTAAGCTTTTCCTCCAGTTCTTCAGCTAGAGACTTTGCTAACTCCGCCTTTGAGTAAAAAAATAAAAAATGTAATTTAAAATTAAGGAAATTGCACCAAATATTCTTTACAAACAAATTTTAGTTTAGTATATCATATTTGCCGGATACTGTTTCATCATACTTTTATTGAAATGGATTATCAACTTGTTTTTAGGGGGGAAAACAAGACTGCATATAAATAACTGTGTATATGTATGTATGTATGTATGTATGTATATATGTATATGTTGTACCTAGTAGCCAGAACGCAGTTTGTGGCCAACTATGCAAGGCCCGATTTGCCTAATAAGCCAAGTTTTCCTGAATTTCAATATTTTTCAAACAAAAATTCGTATGAAATGATAAAGCTATCCATTTCATTATGTATGACTTAATTTTTTTAAATTTGAGTTACAACTAATGGAGATATATGACCGAACCCAACCTAACCTAACCTAAGCTATCTTAACCTAACCTAAACTAACATAACTAAATCAATAATTTATGTTCTTAATATAACCAGTGTTGAATGTAATGAAACGCCATTTTCTGGGTGAGTCCCGGAGGCTCCCCGGAGCTTTCCCAGGCTGATATGCTAATGTCAGACTTTGGTATCAGTCATGTGTATGGAGTTCTTAGGCCTACCGGGGACCACGGCCAGAACCGGGCCCCCTCAGAGAGGCAAGGGAAGCAATGGCCTATAGAAACCCCCGTGTGGTTGGAAGCATTCTGTCTGCCATCGACCGGAACAGACACCCAGAAAGGTAAGCGCCTCAAAACAAACCCCTATTTTGGTTAAAATTGCTACCAAAAGCTGAACTAGTGGATAGAACTCCCCAACAGAAAACAAGCAAACTAGTGTGACGTCACACGTCGTCGCACCGCTGTCTGCGCAGCTTCCCCCCTCCCCGGGAGGGGGAAGGGGGAGCCCCAGACCCTCCACACCAGCTACCCACACCTCAGTTCTTGAGGCTGGATGTCAAAAACACGAAAAAAACGCCGAGCGGAGGGAGGGAGGGAGGGATGCCGGGGAGCCTCCGGGACTCACCCAGAAAATGGCGTTTCATTACATTCAACGCTGGTTTTCTGGGGGAGCCCCATCGGCTCCCCAGAGCTAACTACCCACAGACGGAAAAAGAAGGACTTACCCGGGAAGCGGTCGTCGCTCACTTTTCAACTCGAAGCTGAGACAACTGGCTGCAACCGCCGACCCAAAGTAACACAGGCCCGATGGGGCCCAGGGACATTCACAAAGTAACGAGCAGCCAGGACCCTGTTCGACCGCCAAAATTCCCACGCCTGAATATCAGACCAAGACATATTCCCAAAGACGGCAGCAAGAGCCGCGAACTTACGGACGTCATGGGCACAGGGATAGACCACAAGCTGGCTGGACTTAATAACCCTGCGGACGACCTGGGAGACCCGAACCCGCGAACAGGGAAGAAGGGAAACCGGATCAACCCAAAGTGCGTCCCCGGACACAGAAGCCGTGGCGCGCAAATAACGGCGAAGCGCCGCAACCGGACAAAACATGATACACCCCTGGCCTGACCAACCAAGCATCAACCACCCACGGACCCCTCCGAAACGCAGCAGTCTCATTCTTCGCCAGAAAAGAAGGAGACGGCTGCAAGCGAACATAAGCTCCACGACCAAAAGAGCAGAAACCTCTGCGCCGGAGGAGAGCATGAAGCTCCCCTACCCGACCCCCAGAGGCCAATGCCAACAAGAAAAAGAGCCTTGGAAAAAAATCCCGGACCAAAGGGGCCACAACGAAACAAGGAGACGAAAGGAAAGTGAGCACTCGGTCCAAAGACCAGGACGGCTCAGGCGGCGCATGAGCAGGCCAGAGGTGAAACAAAGCACGAGACAGCTTGCGAAACGGCGCAGACGTAGCATCGATACCGAAGGCAAGCTGAAGCGGCTCCGCCAGCTCCGCACAATACGAGGCGACAGTGTTAGGCATAAGATGACGGTCCTGAAAAAACCAAGAGAGAAAGGACAAGACCACCCTAACAGACAAGGAACTAACACGACGAAGACGCAAAATGAAACAGAAGGACTGCCAGGAAACTTCATACTGCCGCCGAGAAGAAGCCCTCAGGTGGGACACCAACAAGGAGGCCACCTGATCGCCATAGAGATGATGATAAACTCGAGTCAAAAAACCCATACGCGAAGACTCGAGGAGAAGATCGAACCAGCCACGTGACGTACCGGCCCGATCTGCGGAAAGAGGTGGAGCTGTGGGAAAACCCTCGGGTTGAGACACCGAGCAAGCGGCGCCTGAAACCAAGGCTGGGCCGGCCACCAAGGGGCCAGAAGGGGCAACTCTCCCCTGGTAAGTCTTATTATAGATTAATAATAATTATTATAGATTAAATTTTGCTTGTAAACCTTATTACTGATGATGTTTTGCCTGCAAATTCTTTGGTACAAGCCCTTATGGGCCAAAAATAATTTTTAATAAAATCTACTTTTAACTGTTTTCTCAAAACATTCTCTGAAAATAAACTACTAGAGCTCATCAGTATGTAGAGATTATTGAATATAGCTTCAATGTTGATGTGGCTTCGGGAAAACATTTAAAATAAAGCAAAGGGGTTTTTTCCATTTATTCCACATGCTGACCTGGGCAGCTAAAGTTATGTGCTACATGTACTTTTTATGTGTCTCACCTTATGGAACCTTTAAATACTGTGCTCACCTGTGAGGTTTTTTCATCAACTTCTTTTTCCAAATTCAACACTTTATCATGAAGGCTTCTGATTTCCTGTTAAATATATAAACAAAAATCAAGTATATTTTATAATATCGTTATAATCGATATATATAATCATTTCTATACCTTTCAAGAGTGTAAATTTAGTTTTCTTAGTATCTTCATCGAAGAGGCTCCCAATTCCCAGAATTAACTTCTTCATCCTCCTTTATATACCTTCAAGTGATCTTACTCTTGTACAGTGACCAAAACTGTGCTACATGATGCAAGTGAGGCTCACAGAGGGCAAGATAAACCTGAAGGATAGCATGTAGTGTTCACTAATACTATAATGCTTCTAGATACAAGCACCCTATTAGTATTCCCTAGCTTAACAAAATCAAAGTAGCCTAAGAGTTGCAAAAAATACTGCCAATTTGAAAAAAATATTGAATAGATAAATGTAGTTCTATCAGTCTCTTTACTTTACTTTACTATAGGTACTTTAGTGCTAGAATATTATAAACTAGAGATTTGATTCAGAAATTCCAAGGACTGGCAAGTACTGTATATTTTTCAGGATGCATAAATAAACAAATGTTTGCCCACCACATGCAATCTGTTGCACTGCTGCAGGTATTCTTGTTGCATCTTGATCATCTTGGCCTCAGACTCCAGGCTAGTTGTATTGCATTCCTTTTTAGTTTTATGTGCAGAATCCTGAGTTTCCCTCTCACGAGTCTGCAGTTGCTTCACTTTATGTTGCAGGTCGTCAATCTGAAAATAGGCAGAAATAAGTGTAATCATATTTGAAAATCAATAATACTGAAGGATAGACAAAAATTATTGAAACTGAACAGCTACCACCAATGTCCTCACAGGAGACATCTCCCGTCACTCAGGGTGCAGTCGCACCTCCACAGATCTCCAGTATCATCTATTGATACTGGTAATGGCTCAAAAGGGCCACCACTTACAGGCTATTCATGCCCGTGCTACCTTTTGGGTGGCTTAATCTTCATCAATCAATCAATAATCAGACACGGGAGACATCTCCTGTCACGCAGGGTGCAGTCGCACCTCCACAGATCTCCAGTATCATCTATTGATACTTATAATGGCTCAAAAGGGCCACCACTTACAGGCTATTCATGCCCGTGCCACCTTTTGGGTGGCTTAATCTTCAATCAATCAATCACCAATGTCCTTCACGAAATGCTGCTGGCAATTTATCTAACAATAATCTGAAGTTCATTGAAACTACAAATTTCTAAAACTAATATTTCATATTATGGGTTATCAATTTAAAATATATTCTCTGTCCATGTGAAAAGTTTCTGACCAGTTATTCTGTAGCTTCCAGAGATATTGTATATATATAGTTTTTATTCATTATGCTTTAGTATGATTATGACACAGTCAGGCAAGAAAACAAAGCAGATGCTACAAGGATTATGATGTCAATGTGTTAGTACCTGTTAGGTGCAAAACAAATCCTCTACAACTGCCATGCAAAATATAATGTATTCATAGCCGTTCTGCATTACTGTATACAGTAACACTGGGAGGGGGGAATTTTTGCCAATCATTTTGTAGAAATCTGGTACTAACAGCAATTATCATATCAAACAAAATATAGTTATAATGGAAATGAAGTACTGTACTGTAGTCTCAACTTACCAGCTCTTTAGCTCCAAGCTGCTTTCGTCTCAAACTTTCCAGTTCTGTGTCTCTTTCGAGTTTTGCTTTCTTCGTCGTCATCTCTAAGTCACGTATGCGCCCCTCAAGCCTTGATATCTTGGCTTGAGCACCAATGATTTCGCTGTCTTTTTCTCTAAATTTCTTTGTAATATCTGAGGACGAGAAATGAGTTTTAAGAGTAATATACACATTAAAATAACTTTCATCTAAGAATACTAAAATCTGTTTATTATTTGTTTATTCAAATTTAATTTTAGGCAAACATTTACAAATAGGGTACCTGCTTGATATCTGCTTGATGAGGTTCTGGGAGTTGTTCTAATCCCCATCCTCCACATGGGGAGTAGAGGATGGGGGAGTTCATGGGGAGTAGAAATGGGGAGTTCTTCTACTCCCCATTGGTATTTTCTTATAATTTTTTTAAGGAGAGAACAGAGATAGTTTGTGGTATCTGACTGATCAGATACCACAACCCAGATACTGGGTTGGACATGTATATGAGTGGGATCGGGTGGTTATGAATAGCTGCTGCCTCGTATGGGCCAATAGGCCTTCTGCAGTTACCTTTGTTCTTATGTTCTTATGATCACTTCTCTCCACTCCAAGGCCTCCAATCATTAAGCATTACTTAAAAACAGGATACTGTATATGTGAATAAAATATACACTATATATATTTTACATTCACACATTCCTTAACTTGAAGGCATTCCTCAGTGCTTTTAGTTCATTTTCTCTTTTAGAATAACAATTATTGACCTCTTACTACTTCTCTCAGGCATATTACCTTGCCACCAAATTTTTAAAAGACAAAGCCAGTGGACTTATATACAGTACTGTGACTCGTAGAGTGCACTCCTGGCATTGAATGACATAGTAATAACACCCAGAAAATAGTCAGTGATGAATGTTTTAGCTGCTAATGAAAACAGATTTGAAATTAAATTCATTTGGATACCATCACATGTTGGCATCTCAAAGCATGACACTGTTGACATGCTTACAAAAACAACCTGTAGAAAACCAGTAGTAGAAATTGATATGGGTGTTTCAATAGCAGTGACAAAGAGAATAATTTCATTTCATTACACAATTTCATTATGATAAATATCGTGGGGAAACATTCATATTTGGAACTAATAGAGCAAGAATTCGGCAATGTGATGTTATAGTGGCCAGAATATGCCTGGGATATAGACGTATCTGGCAGCTCTCTCAAAACCCAAATATTGAATTCACCATGTGTCAACTTTGTGAAAGAGAAAACATGCACTCCCATGAACATTATATTATAGAAAGTGCCAAAGTGACTGACTATCACCCTCCTGGGCTGAGGTATGCTGACGTCTGCAAATACTATATGAATACCGAGCGCTGTCGGATCTTGGATAAATACTGTAGTCTCAAGACTACCAAGATTTTTGTACAGTCATGTGGTCTAGAGGTTAAGGTACCAGGTACGTCAAGGTGCATAGGGCTCCTGGCTGTCTGAGTTCGAATCCTTCTGGGGTGTGGAGTTTTCAGTTGCATATTGGCTTGGGGACCATTCAAGCTTGTTTGCATTTGTGTTGCTCACGTGGCCTCACCAAGTGAGGCGATTCAATGAAATATCTATGTCCAAGTTGACCACCGTGCACTGGCGGATCTTGGATAGTCTCACGACTACCAAGAGTTTTGTACAGTCGTGTGGTCTAGTGGTCAAAGTACCAGGTACGCCACGGTGCATAGTGTTCCTGGCTGTCTAGGTTCGAATCCTTCTGGGGTGTGGAGTTTTCAGTTGCATATAGGTTTGGGGACCATTCAAGCTTGTTCGTATGTATGTATATGTGTATACAGCATATGTGGAAGCTGGTCAGAATTGCATTTCACCTTTGTAAACGCACATTAATGACACCATGTAAAGACACCTCAAACACTGTTTACGTAGGACAGATATAAATGTGTGTATTTATGTATTTAATTGTGGGATTGGGTGGTTATAAATAGGAGTTGCCTCGTATGGGCCAATAGGCCTTCTCCAGTTACCTTTATTCTTACGTTCTTATGTATGTAGGTTAGATTAGCATTTTAAAAGCATTACAATCACCTGTGGTTCATTGCTCACTAAATAGCATGTTAAACAGATCTCTAACCTTGTCCATGGAGAATAAACTAAAATGTATATATGCTGGTTAGCATGTAAATGTGTGGTCAGGTCTCTGGTTGAAAAATAAAATACTTCTCTAACTGCTTGCTACCTGAATGACATGCAGTACAGTATTTTCCAATTTTTTTAACATCCATAATGTCAACTTTATATGACTCGGTCACTATTTCAGTTTTTTTTTTATCATACTGTATTTAGATTTTTCAAACCTTAAACTAAGATTCATATCTTGCATAGCTTGTTCAGGTACCCCATGTAACCAAACTGGTTTTTATGTTGTCTACTCTGAATTTGACTTTAGATTCATACATTTTTTAAATATTTTCTTCTAATTTTGACTGATTTTGTTAATTTATTATACACCCCATACCCATCCCATGGATGGTAGTGGAAAAGGTTAGAGGTACAGTATATAATGGCCTCATATTCTTTCTAAATCTTGTTTTTTTAACCTATTACCAAGCTGCTTCATAAGACTTCTAAAAATAATTTGATTCCAATCAACAGGTTTTCTTTAGCTTCTTTCTATCTCTACTGAATCCATTATCAGTGACATCCTTATTTTAACTAGTTTCTATTTTTAGCAAATCTAACACAGCCCAACCTAATGCTATATGACATTTGTTTAATTGGAGTACTTTGTGTGATATGCTTGTGTACCACATGGCTTCCCATTGCTGGGAAAGAAAGTCTAGTTAGAATTAATGAGGTCCTGCCTTGCTAAGGGTGAGGCTGTCTGTACTGTGACCAACTAGTTACCGGCCGGACTCAGTGGTGTTTAACCGAGTGATATGCACACCCGCTGCGGTCAGACATATATGTGAAGGAACAGATATAAATAGGAGCTGCCTCGTATGGGCCAATAAGTCTTCTGCAATCACCTTCATTCTCATGTGGTACATTACTTCATTTACATTTCTTCCTAAAGTTGTAACTAAAGCATCTTCTCAAGCCTAGACTTACCAAACCCAGCAACAGAGTCGAGGTGTCTTTTCTTAGAGTTGTGGAATCCATCGGTGGAGTCATTGTCCATAACGCTGCTACAGTCACTGTGGGCCTCGGAGAAGTTGAGGCGTCGGGACCCACTCATGCACGAGTCTCTAGACCTGTTGCCGCTGTACAGGAACTGGTTGAAGTCCTTCATCGCCTTCGCGATGAATGTTGGTTCAGGAGAAGCATCCATGGTGGTTAAATGGTGAAGAGTAACGGTGAAATTGTGAAAAACGTGGGGAGTGAGCTTGTACAAGACAGCAATGGTGTTTATCCAGTAGGTCGCTTATACTCCCGCCACTCACAGTTGTTGACGAACGTTTCGTACACGCATTGTTATTTCAATTTAATTTTTATATATACAAGAGTTATTACATTCTTATACAGCCACCAACACGCATAGCGTTATGGGCAGGTCCTTAATCTAACATATCAGGTAAGATGAAAGGACACATTGTAGCAAGATTTTTATATCAACATATAACTACATTATATATTGAGGGGATTACACCTATGAATATATATGTCTTAAGTACTAATATTGGGGAAGTTGGTAGTAAGATACGGTGTGAGTTTGAAGCACAAGGTAGGATCTGAAGGCAACTATCTCTAGTGGCCTCGACGAGGACAGGAAGCCGGCGACTTGTCAAAGTACCCCCTATTTGTCCTTGTCATTTTATCCAGCTAGATTTTGAACTGCAGTAATGACTTGGCATTTACGGCTTGGGCGGGTAGGCGGTTCCATGGGGTTTATATCCCTGTGGGTGTAGAAGCATCTCCTTCCGGATCAGCATCCTCCAAATTGTTCAGTATTTTAAAAGTTTTTATAAGATTGGCTCTGTTAATAATAATATTAATAATAATAATAATAATAATAATAATAATAATAATAATAATAATAATAATAATAATAATAATAATGATTCGACAGAGATCGTTAATAATAATTATTAATTATTCATTATCAAAATGATCACTATATATTTACCTATTTCTTGTCAAATACATTAATTAATTAACCTTATTTATTCACGTGTGCTACATAAAAAACTTTTAAGTAACATTGAAGTTTTTTATGATTTTCGCTACAAAGTGTTACAAAAATTGTGGAGTGAATGAATTTGGTGTTGGTGTTGTACAAATAATAATCTTAGTTCTATAATTTATAAATAATTTTATAGTTTTATTGTACTATTTGCATCTGTCAATATAATCACGTTTATATTTTTTTAATTATTTTAGATGCTAAATTTTATATAATAATATTATTTAAAAGTAAAGTTAGGAATTTTTGTTTGACGCAACAACAAACTTCAAATTTGAAGAGAAGACGCCCGGAGCCGCTGGTCGTCCTCTACCTTTATACCTCTGTGGTGTCTGCGGTCTTTCTCAACCTGTGTGGTGTCTGCCTCTACCTCTGCGGTCTTTCTCAACCTGTGTGGTGTCTGTCTCTACCTCTGCGGTCCTCCTCAGCCTGTGTGGTGTCTGCCTCTACCTCTGCGGTCCTCCTCAGCCTGTGTGGTGTCGCCGCTCTCCCGTCAGTACACCCATTGTTTATGCAATTTTTGCTATAGATTAAATATGTCTTGTGCACACACAGGTACTGTACCTGTTATCAAAGTTATCACTCACAGCCCCGCTGTTTCAAGTCCCTCGACATACACTCACTCCACACATTCTCTTGTGTTATTAACAAGTACAAAACCTTGTTCCTAAATGCTAATCTTGATCTGAAACTTTTCCTTGATAGATGTAATGACCTCCTCATAGTTTCCTAGTTTGTGCTTCAAACTATTTTATGCTACCTACTGCACCAATTTTAGTATTTAAGATGTGCGACTTTAGTGTAATCAGTGTCATCAATTTATATTATAGTTATTATGGTAAACTCAAATTTTTGCTACAGTATTATGTTAAGTTTAACTCAAATTCTACAACAATATGCCTATTAATACTTTCACTTTTATTAGTTAGATTAAGGACCTGCCCGAAACACTATGCGTGTTAGTGGCTTTGCAAGAATGTAAAAATATCAATCTTATGTTCGCTTTCAACCCAATATATTTTCTTGTATATAAATAAATAACGATTTCATGATGCAAATGTTGATTGTATTCAGCGATGGACATGGGTTGTGGGAGAGATAAACTGTTGTAACACCACTTCTTGAATCACTTGTGATGTAAAAAGTCTAAAGATATATGTACATGTATTATTGTACAAGAACATGAAAATTGTGTAACTAGCTTCACAAGATTACTTGCTTAGCTAAATAAAGTCTGGGGTTCAGTCCCTGAACCCATTATGTGCCTCGGTAACCCTTTCCATCCCCCCTTACGGGATGGGTATCAGCTGTACAATAAGTGACTAAACTGAATAGTCCCTGTGGTGCAGTGGTAATGTACTAGCCGGGAGCTTCACGAGCAATTTGACCTGGGTTCATATCCTGGCACGGGAGGATTGACTGGGTGCCAATCCTTAACTGTACGCCTCTAGTCACTCGGCAGTGAATGGATACCTGGTTGTTGAACGATTTGGGGGATCGTATTCCAGGTAAGATTAAGATAAAGAACCTGCCCAAAATGCTGTGTGTGTATTGTAAATATATAAAAAGAAAACAAAAATCCAAGAAAGAAATATACACTGACTTTGGGGTACCATGTATACACTGACATTGGATACTAGGTTTATGCTGGCTTTGGATGCCAGGTAGACACTGGTTTTGTGAACTAAGTACAGTGGAACCTCGAGTGACGAGCATTTCAAGTAACGAGCGAGGCACTCGCAGAAAATTTCTTGATTGACGATCTTTCGCTCCATTAACAAGCAAGCCACATGGTGCTTCCTGGCGTTCCCACTGGTTCTCGGACGCCTCCGATGACAGTGTTGTTGTTTTGCAAGACGAGCGTTTCACGTGACGAGCTCGGTGCCGGAACGGATTAAATTCGATAATCGAGGCGCCACTGTATATGCTGAGACTACCCAGGATTTATGCTGGGGTGGGGGGAATCACAAAAGGGTCACTATAATTCTAACAAAGAAGTAATTTTAATTGTTAGAAACTTTATGAAAGATAACTAATAAATGTCTCCATTAGCACACAAATTTAATAATGGCAGGAAATTGAAAAGTAGAGAGACACCGTACACCCGCATACCCTCTAATTTCTATCGGTAATTGTGTAACAGAGCTGCTATTCCTGAGACTAGATGTCTTGTTCACTGCTGTACTGCTTTGAGGAGAAAAATGTTGGTGGATAGTTAACTATGTACTTACATTCGTTGAAATTTGGCCAAATCTAACTGAACTTAACCTAACTAGAACTTGCTGCTCCTAAACTAACTAATCTTAATCTTGCCTAACCCAATAATAATACCATCATCACCCAGCAAAAATCTGCTATCAGAATAATAACAAATTCTGCTTTCAGACAACACTCAGCCCCCTTGTTTAACTCCCTAAACATGCTGAACATAATCTCACTCCACAAATTCTCTTGTGTCAACTACAATTACAAAACCCTGTTCTTAAATGCAAATCCTGCTCTGAAACTCTTCCTGGACAGATGTGGTGATAATGGGTCCTATTACACCAGAAATAAATATCTCTTTGATATCCCCAGAGTCAAACTTAATCCGTGTAAACACACTATGCAAATAAAGGGACCCAGTCCCTTTATTTGCATAGATTATGGAACTCGATTATGGAACTCACTCCCTATTGAATTGAAAAGCTGTCCAACTTTTGCGTCATTCAAAAAAATACTAAAAAGTACCTAATTTCATCTTCATAGTTTTTTACCTTTTGCTTTAAAATTGCACTGTATCTATTGCTACCCAATCTCCCAATCTTTATGTACCCAATTTGAACATCTTTATCATTGTGATATTTGCTGTCTTCTTATATGCTGTCAATCTGCTGTATGGTGTCTATTAATCTTGTTTAAATTACCAATCAAGTTGTCAATGTAATCAATCAGAGCTTTAATATACTTACTAATCTCTCTCATCTCATTTTTTGTCTTGCAATGTATTTGTTATTTTATTAATTCTGATAGAATTTACCTACTTAAAATTATCTGTTAGATTAAGGACCTGCCCGAAACGCTGCACGAACTAGTGGCTTTACAAGATTGTAAATACTGTACTATGCTATGTATTCTCACAAACTCAATGTGCCTTCTTCTATATAAATAAATAAATAAATAAATAAATAAAAATTACAGGTCAAAATTACATAGCTGATATTTAATTTTTTTTGGTTACACTATTCATTTTAATCTTTTAAGATTTTTGGGGTACAAAGTTTATTATTTTAGCATTGTAAGCATTGACATTGTTTCAAAACTATTATTGTTTTCCTTGATCATAAAGTGACCTTCAAGATGGTGAGCAGTGAAGGAGAGGTTAACATTGAGCATGAAATGCAGAGGGTAACCAAGTTGACGAGTTCAGTTGTGGCCAAACTCGCTAGTACCAATGTTGGCTCACTCGTCACATCTGCAAAGGATTCCTTCACTAGTGCAGTTCAGACTAATGATCATACCCAGCAATTGCTGGATGAGAGATTGGAAGGTAAGCATCTAGTTATTTATACCCAAAATGTAACTCTAAGTACAGGTATTGTACATTTCTTTGTCTACTTGTCCACAGTAACTGTGGACAATTAGACACTTGTCCACAGTTACTGTGTGCACTGCAAATCTAAGAGTAAAATGTGTCATACTTCCCCATTCCACACCCATCTTGTTGTAAGGGCACGAGCTTGTAAGCCGTACCCTAGAGTACGAACTCGCACACTCCTTCCTTCCTTCTAGTATAGATATGTTATTTTAAAACAGGGATGTTGAACCAATATGCATTTGTAAACTCTTCAGACACAGGTAATCATGTGGGGGCTGGTGCCATACTTTTGAATTGGCAGGACTCGACAATCAATCAGTGCGTGCATTACATTTATTAACACACAGGAAATGGTATAATACACTAACAAGGAATAATCTCTCACTCACCAGATAAACTATTAGTATTCCAGTCACTCAAATATAATGGAGGTCAATAACCTCACACTGAGGTGGGCCCTTCGCGAGCTCACACCACGCGTGTGTGTGTGTGTGACACAACAGCTGCATATTCTAGCTTTGGCCTAACAAAAGTCATGAACAATTCCTTTAGTATATCGCCATCCATGTATTTAAATGCAATTCTGAAGTTAGAAAGCATTGCATAGGCTCCTTGCACAATATTCTTAATGTGGTCCTCAGGTGATAGTTTTCTATCTAGAACCACTCCTAGATCTCTTTCTTTATCAGAATTCTTTAAAGATTTCTCACATAATATATAGGTTGTGTGGGGTCTATGTTCTCCTATTCCACATTCCATAACATGACATTTATTAACATTAAATTCCATTTGCCAAGTGGTGCTCCATATACTTATTTTGTCCAGGTCTTCTTGAAGGGCATGACAATCATCTAAATTTCTTATCCTTCCTATTATCTTAGCATCATCAGCAAACATGTTCATATAATTCTGTATACCAACTGGTAGATCATTTATGTACACAATAAACATCACTGGTGCAAGAACTGAACCCTGTGGTACTCCACTTGTGACATTTCTCCATTCCGATACATTGCCTCTGATTACTGCCCTCATTTTTCTATCAGTCAGAAAATTTTTCATCCATGATAGAAGCTTACCTGTCACCCCTCCAATATTTTCCAGTTTCCAGAACAACCTCTTATGTGGAACTCTGTTGAAAGCCTTTTTTAGGTCCAGATAGATGCAGTCAACCCAGCCATCTCTTTCCTGTAATATCTCTGTGGCCCGATCATAGAAACTGAGTAAATTCGATACACAGGATCTTCCTGATCGAAAACCATACTGTCTGTCTGATATTATATCATTTCTCTCCAGGTGTTCTACCCATTTAGTTTTGATTAGCTTTTCCAATACTTTCACTATTACACTTGTCAATGATACAGGTCTATAATTGAGGGGGTCTTCCCTGCTGCCACTTTTGTAGATTGGAACTATGTTAGCCTGTTTCCACACGTCTGCTACGATTCCTGTACACAGGGATGCCTGAAAGATCAGGTGAAGTGGAATGCTGAGTGTGTGTGTGTCGAGTTTCGGCTCTTTCACTCCTCTCATAAAAATGCTCTGGAAAACTTTAACACACAGAATCATACATATTTACTAATACATACTCTCAAACACAAATGAAGCATAAAAATTAACACAAATAAAACAAACTGGTACAGTATTTTAACTAAGAAACATTTACATTAATAACAACAAAAGCTAGACTTTATATGCTAATCATTACATTGTGAATAAACTACCACTATATTTTCCCATTTCAAATTGCCATACTTTTATTTAGCTGATTATTGGTAAATGCACATCTTTTCCAGTGTTATGGCCTGTTTGTAAAGAAATAATTTGAGGCATAATGAAGTCTACTTTACACCTATTGCTGGTACATGTTGGTGTTTAATGATCTGCCTCTTTCAGCCAGTAATGGTTACCAGTGCATCCAGCTGCTCAATGTTGCCTTTTCTCTCTATTTCATATTTTTTGTAATGTTTTATTTTATAAATGAAGGTAACCACCAGTGTGCTTAGAAATCTTGAAATTGCTTGACCTTAATAAAGAAGTCATATTTTAACTTCAACTTTATTTAATATTGTTGATGTATATTGTGACAAATGACTTAAAAAAAGTATACTATACAATGTGAAGCTGAAGGAACATTAGATCTTAAAGGAACACAGTATAGATTTTAGTATAAGTTAGCTACTAAAAGCTGATCTAATATACAGTACCCTTTAATAACTTGTTTTGAATTTGAAAAATACAATGTAAACCTTAGTTTGTGTTAAGATAATCACAAAGTACAATATGCTTTTACAAATTTGTTTACTTGAAGTTAAATTTAGTTATTAAACTATGTATTATAACAAACACAGCTTTACTACCATAGGTCTAACATCTTTGGTTTACTGTATATTTGCAGAATTATTGCATGTTCAAGAAATGGAAAAGTGTACACTTGATGAGCTGCGATCACAAACCCTGGGTCCTCGAGCACAACATCTCCTGTCTCAGATTGCTCAGGCTAACAGAGAAAAGGTTGATCACACTGCTATATTATTATTATTTATATACCTGTTAATGTATTTCACATTAAGACAGTTGACAGTATCAGTTTAAATGGGAAAACAATCATCTCTCACTTGCAGTTACTATATCACTACAGTATTTAATATGGTATAATGCTATCAGTACCACCCCACCTTGAAATTGTAACCAAGTCACACACGAAAAGTCTCGACAGAAAATTAAATTTTATCGCCTTTGATTTTTTTTAATCTACATTAGTAGTGAGCTTTAAATATTACACATTTTACTCTTGGTAACTTTTCTAAATACAGTATTTCCATTTTTATCTTGCACTATATTTCAAAATATTTCCACTTAATGGCACCTTTGTTGCAGAGTGACGTAGAAAACGAGATTGCTTCATTGGTTTCCAGTATTGTTAATTTGGAACAGCTTGACAACCAGCTGAACACTAGAACCAAATCTACAATCCTGCATAATTCCACTTCCATCCCTAAAATGAAGTGAGTATCCAATATGACCTTCACTTATAAATGATCTTTATGTAAAATATTGTGTGCTTTATAGTCATACAGTAAATCCTTGCATATTTGCAAAGTTCCATCCCTGAAATGTGTGTAAAACTTAATAATGTAAATCTTATCTTATTTATTAAAGGTAAAGTTCTGTTCTGATTTCACCATAATATGAGAGGTTTTGTGCTATTTACAGTACAGTATATACTTACTCTTAGAAATATGTTTTTGCAATATTAAATATAGCACATTTAAATATACATAGTATATTTTATTCAAAATTAATGTCTTCGGTCTTTGAATCATACAGTGAAGGGAGTTGATATACCATGTTTTCAGGCCTAGCCTCATGGCCTCCTTAGATAGGCCTTCAGAATGTATGATTTAGGCTTCGTTGGTCACCTCTCAGCACTCTCATTTCCAAGTTTCATGAGCAGGAGAGACATCATAACAGGAAGTAGGAGAGCAATCGAAGGAAATAAGATAAAGATTTAAAAAAAAGACCCATTCAATCTTTACACTACACAGCCTTATGTAGTCTCAGTAGTGAGACTTTGTCGGCATCTCTTCCCTCCAATGGCTTTGCTCTGCCCTACTTCGTTGCCATTTAGGGTTCGATCGATCCTTGGTGATTTGTTGGATGACTGAGCGCTTGCGCAGGTGCCTGCATTGTCTTCCTATAGGTGGGGTTTCATTCTGGCATTGTACTGGTTTCTCTGGTTCTGCCTATTCTGCCACTCCTGGAACCGGCGGGTTCTTGGTTTTCAGGGTCATTTCCATGGCATCGTCTTCCTTCACAGATGCCTAATCTGGGATGGGGCTTCGTGGCTTGTACTCCCGGGCTACCCAGGGGCAGTAGTTGGGTCTACAAATCCACAAGGGCTGTGACGTGGATTCGAACCTACGTCTGAGAGCATCCCAGACGCTGCCCTAATCAACTGAGCTACGACATGGTCAAAAGAGTTAAAACTGAAGTTCTACTGAACTTACTGGATCCTGCAGCCTCTCCGAGACACAAACCAGGGTTTTACACAACGCCCCCATGCACTCGAGCTATGTCAATAGGCCATTCTACCTCTTCACCCTTACTTCATTACACACAGAAATCACAATATCGTGATGCATCAATCACCTGGCACAATTTGTGTTATGGCAGTGTGGCAGGCCCTGCAGAGGCTTCACCTTCCCTTGAACTCTGTGCTCTGGCTTCCTTCCAAATACTGTACTTCGTGGTGGTTCGATGTCTGTACCATGGGGGTAGGGGGGGGGGGTTGTTTCAGTCCCTGTGGAGTTAGACGCTTTGTATGTTCGGCCTCTGGCTTCTTGGGGTTTTGATTTTCTGTGGTGTTGAACCTGCACCTCCCACTCCATTCCCTGCTTGTGAGGCTCTCATGGTGGTTTCTTTTTGCCTGGACTGGTCAAGGTAGAGGTAACCTTACCTTTTTTTTCCCCAATGCAGTTGTTGCTTCAGGTGCTGTCCAGACTGGAGTTATACTTGGGAAGGGTGGTCAGCCCAGCCATGGTTTTCAGTACTGCTGGCCTGGCATCTGAACCCGGGCAGTTTTTCCACGGCTATGCCTCTTCCAACTGTTTGGCCCAGTGGTGCTTTGACTTTTTCCTCTGCTCTTTGCATTTGGTGTTTTGATGCATTCCGCTTGCCATTTGTGGCGCCAGCAGGTGGTTTGTTGGTGTCCCACTTGCATCTTTCTTTGTGGCTGGTGTTCATTTCACCGCTCCATGTCTCTATTTCGACTTTTTCAGTTTCGGTCAGGTGTGTCCTGTCCCTTTTTCTCTTGGTTTGGTTCACTGTTCTCTCCTTTTGTTGACACCTTCTTGGTGCCGTTCCACATATTATCTTAATGAGTTCTTCCTCCTGTGCTGTCCTGGTCCCTTGACCATATTTTGACTCTTGTTTCCTTGCCCCAGTTAATGGTTTCCCTTTTGATTTGTGTTTTTCTTAGTGATTTTCCTTTTGGCTTTCACCTCTGGCTATTCGGTTGGGGAGCTTCAGGCTCTTCTCTAGTGGTAGGGGTTTTGTTTTTTTGGTCCTGGCAGGCAGTTTGTTTGCCACCATTGTCTTTTCTGGTTCAGATGGTGTTGGCGGGCTTCCGGAGGAGGCCTTTGGTGTTTGATGCTTGTTTGGTTGAGCTGGGGGTGCATTGTTTGTTGTCCCGTGATGGAATTTTGCCACTGCCTGCATGCTACTATTTCTGTCTCGGTAGATGCTTTGTTTGATCTCGTTTCCTTTGGTTCTTGTTCGAAGGCCCACATTGTTTGTACACGTCATGCTGTACTTGACTATAGCCGCTGTCTTTTCTGTTGGGCTGATAATTGGGCTGGGGGGGAGTTAGTGTTCTAACATGGTACTGGCAACCCAGAATTTGCTTTGTTACTGGGCCCAGTTGGTCATGTGTGTCTTTGGATTGTGTTACCTGCCCTGGTTTCTCATCTTAATTGCCTTTCTGCCTTCCTGATGTAACCCTTTCTAATGTGGGGAAGATTAGCTTCAGGAAGCCACAAGGGGCTTTCCCCAGAAACCCAGTGTGAAGCAATCCCAGGAAGATAGCTTCAGGGAGCCATCAGGGCTCCTCCAGAAATTGGTGCTTCATAACATTCAATGCTCAGGTTTTTAATATTTGTCTTTCATTGCAGAGCTGATATCAGTACATTCACAAAAATCTCCAACCTGAAATGGGATTACTGTGCTCCTGAGGACGTAGTCAAGGGTTGTATCCTTTTATAAGTAGTGTTAACAATTTTTAGTTAGTCTGAATGTGTAAAAATACTTTTTTTTTTGCTCTAACCTATCCTGCTATAAAAAATACACTACAACTACAGGGCAGAGGAATTACTGATCCACGCCCACGTCATATAAATTGCCATTCACACTTCTGTGGAAATAACATTCCATTTACCTGGACTGAATGGGTATCGAACCCCAGACCCCTCGCGTGTGAGGCCGTAGCTCTATCAACTCTGCTATAAGCAGTCTTAAAAAGGAAAGTTTAATTCTTCTGGGCTTCAATAATAGTCAGGGTAAGTTGAAAATTTCAGTTTGGCAGCAGGATGCTGCATCTGGAAACTTCTTTTTAAGACTGCTCATAGCTCAGTTGATAGAGCTACAGCCTCACATGCGAGGGGTCCAGGGTTCGAGACCCATTCAGTCCAGGTGAATGGAATGTTATTTCCATGGAAGTGTGGATGGCAATTTATACATACATACAGTACTTGGTATATAAAGTACAGTATACTAGTCATATGAACTGTGCTGTATTAACCCTTAAGCTGCTAAGGGGTCCTAAGGAGATTTACACCCCTGTACGCAAGAAAAAATATTTAAAAAATTATTTCATCTTCTAAAAATGTTAATTTGCGTTCCCTGAACACGGGAAAATAAAAAAAAATCGTAGGTGTTGTATTTTGGGCGCAATAGGCCGAGGAAGTCTGACAAAAAGTGGGCATTGACGGCTTTAGAAACTATCTACTTTTACTCCACGATGGATAGTGATCATGAACAAGGCCCTTCCAGGAAGAAAATTGCGAAAGAAAGGCTTGAAAAGGGAGGGAATTGGGAGTGTAGCTGGAAGGCGTCTGAGCGCTCACTCGCGGCTAACGTGTGGCCCGTCTTCAACTCGTCGGCGGTTGGAGCGTGACCAGGTTTTATATTTTATATGCTAATGTTCCTCTAGAGAATTCTATTGCGAACCCATTGAGACCAAAATGAAAGACCTAGGACAAAAATTGAGGTGACCAGAGTGAAAATAGTGAAAACATTTTATCGCGTTTGCGCGCTCCTGGGTAACTCGTTCGCACTTTCTCCATTTGCTGTGGGTAATTAGCCGGGCTTTTGGAGTTTATATGCATTTAGTGCTGTAGAGAATTCTATTGCGAACACAATGATACCAAATTTAATCTCGTAGGACGAGAATTAAGGTGACAAAGTTGAAGAGAGTATACACTTTTCAGAATTTACGCACGCTCCCGTGACACCCTGGGTCCCATATCGCACAGTTGAGGGGTGGCGCGCGGGTGAGCGAAAGTGTTAATCCTTCTCATAATTTTGGCGTCGTCAGCAAACATTGAGAGGAATGAGTCTATACCCTCTGGGAGATCATTTACGTATATCAGAAACAGGATAGGTCCAAGTACAGAGCCCTGTGGGACTCCACTGGTGACTTCACGCCAGTCTGAGGTCTCACCCCTCACTGTAACTCTGCTTCCTATTGTTTAGGTACTCCCTTATCCACTGGAGTGCCCTACCAGTTACTCCTGCCTGTTTCTCCAGCTTATGCATCAACCTTTTATGGGGTACTGTGTCAAAGGCTTTCCGACAGTCCAAAAAAATGCAGTCCGCCCACCCTTCTCTTTCTTGTTTAATCTTGCTGCCCGAAACGCTTTGCGTAATAGTGGCTTTAGGCATTGTATGTACTAGCTCTATCTATTAACCCAACAAACTTTGTAAAATCTCTCTATGTATGTACCTTACCTAAATAAAAATTTATTTATTTATTTATTTATTTGTCACCTGATCGTAGAATTCTATCAATCCTGTAAGGCAAGATTTACCCTCCCTGAACCCATGTTGATGGGTTGTCACGAAGTCTCTTCTCTCCAGATGTGTTACTAGGTTTTTTCTCACAATCTTCTCCATCACTTTGCATGGTATACAAGTTAAGGACACTGGCCTGTAGTTCAGTGCCTCTTGTCTGTCACCCTTTTTGTATATTGGTACTACATTAGCAGTCTTCCATATTTCTGGTAGGTCCCCCGTTTCCAGTGACCTACTATACACTATGGAGAGTGGTAGGTAAAGTGCTCCTGCACACTTTCAATACGCATGGCGAGATTCCATCCGGCCCAACAGCTTTTCTCACATCCAGCTCCAATAGGTGCTTCTTGACCTTATCTCTTGTAATTTCGAACCTATCCAAGGTCACCTGGTTTGCTGCCACCTCTACTAGCGCCGCGACATCTCCCTGTTCTATTGTAAAGACCTCCTGGAACCTTTTGTTGAGTTCTTCACACGCCTTTTTGTCATTCTCTGTGTACCTGTCCTCGCCCACCCTAAATTTCATCACCTGTTCCTTCACTGTTGTCTTCCTCCTGATGTGACTGTGTAGTAGCTTTGGTTCGGTCTTGGCTTTATTAGCTATATCATTTTCATACCTTTTCTCAGCTGCTCTTCTCACACTGACGTACTCGTTCCTGGTTCTCTGGTATCTCACTCTACTTTCTGGTGTTCTGTTATTACGGAAGTTCCTCCATGCCCTTTTGTTCAGCTCCTTTGCTTTCATACATTCCTTATTAAACCACGGATTCTTCCGTGTGTGTGTGTGTTTGTGCCTGTGGTTGTTGAAGCCATTTGGACCCCTAGCGGCCCAAGGGTTAAATACGAAAGTACTTGCGGAATTTCCTGTCTTTAATCCTTCCTTCGTGGTCTGACATTCTTAATCACGTATTAATTTCTTGATGTACACGTACACATATACTTTCTTTAGTTAAACTAAAAAAAAAAGGCCGAAGAAATATAAGAAAATTCACTTTCGTAAACAGAGTGGCGAGGTGAGATGAGGTGGAGGACAAAACTGTCGGTAATTTCAAAGTGTGCTAGGAAGACTGGACACCACGAGAGTAGCTCTCATCCTGTAACTACACTTGGGTAATTACACATACACATGCATTTATATTTTGGTTTGGTGCCTTCTTTTGATAATAACTCACTTTTTATGTACTGTACTACAATTTTTTGGAGTTTTTCCTTAACCAGATATCAGTTATTTATCAACCTCAAAAGAGAGACATTATCCCATTCAAGTTTGACAAAGGCTCTCACTCACAGTTCTTCATCACCAACTTCCTGTGGGAGCAGATAGGGACAGATAATGACTTCCTTCAGTAAGGAGAGCTGATCACCACCTAAACCTTTGATGCATCTTGATGCTAACATTACTGTATTTGCCTATAATGTATGTGTGTGTATATTTTAATCATCCACATGTTTCAAAATATGTATGGGTCATATAGATTCTTTTGCCAATTGTATTGAAATAAATGTGTATATATATATTATATATATAAAATAAACTTCAATTATCTCTACCATGTTTTCTAATTATGGAGAAAGCATCAATACAGTGTATCCTTTTTATCTCTGGACTATTATGTTAGACATTGAAAGAAAACCAGTTAAAAACTTGTATGTTATCAAGACACTTTACAATCTTTAATCTCATCGTGAAGGTTTACATTTAAGTACACGTATGGGAGCTTTACATACTTCCCGTGCCAAGCATTTATGTTGAAATTAGAATTTTATCTTGCCATTATAGGCGTAACTACTATTGTGTGTCTTTGTAGGACTCCTCCATTGACCCCTTGTGTTAATATGTTAAAATTACAGCACATATACAGCTTCCTGTCCTCAACAGTGAGATGTGTGTACTCACCTAGTTGTGTTTGCAGGGGTTGAGCTCTGGCTCTTTGGTCCTGCCTCTCAACCGTCAATCAACAGGTGTACAGATTCCTGAGCCTATTGGGCTCTATCATATCTACACTTGAAACTGTGTATGGAGTCAGCCTCCACATCACTTCCTAATGCATTCCATTTGTCAATCACTCTGACACTAAAAAAGTTCTTTCTAATATCTGTGGCTCATTTGGGCACTCAGTTTCCACCTGTCCCCCCTTGTGCCCCTTGTGTTAAATAGCCTGTCTTTATCTACCCTATCAATTCCCTTCAGAATCTTGAATGTGGTGATCATGTCCCCCCTAACTCTTCTGTCTTCCAGCGAAGTACGGTTTAATTCCCGTAGTCTCAAATAAAACCAAAAGTGTGTGTGTGTGTGTGTGTGTGTAGCCAGAATGCAATATAGGCCTATATATTTGCCTAATATATTATCTATATATATACCCATTTCATTATATATATATTGGATTATATAGATATATGACCGAACCTAACCTATATCTTTATAGGTTAGGTTATAGGTAGCCGAAAAAGTTATTAGGTAGGTATCGTCGAAAAATATTCATGAAAACTTGGCTTATTAGGCAAATATATAGCTGACAAGTGCGTATATATAGGTACGATATTATATATATATATATATATATATGTGTGTGTGTGTGTCATACCTAGTAGCCAGAATGCACTTCTCAGCCTACTATGCAAGACCCGAATTGCCTAATAAGCCAAGTTTTCACGAATTAATGTTTTCTCGACTACCTAACCTAACCTATAAAGATAGGTTAGGTTTGGTAGGGTTGGTTAGGTTCGGTCATATATCTACGTTAATTTTAACTCCAATAAAAAAAATTGACCTCATACATAATGAAATGGGTAGCTTTATCATTTCATAAGAAAAAAATATATTAATTCAGGAAAACTTCGCTTATTAGGCAAATCGGGCCTTGCATAGTAGGCTGAGAAGTGCGTTCTGGCTACTAGGTACGACATATATATATACACACACACATACACTGTATTTTGGTTTTATCAAAGGTCTGTCTCTCCCAGCCAAACTACTGACCTTTCCCATGATGCTGCCCCTATATAACCCCTGGGTATTTGCTATTAGGCAAGATAGGAAAAAGCCCAACTATTTCTATTCTTCCCAGGAATCAAACTCAGGCTCTCCAATTGAGTCGAGAATGAAACCTTGTAGCATATACAAGACTGCATTCGTCCTGCACCTAGACCATCCTGATTTTCAAGATTGGAGAGCTTGCCTTGTCCCCCCCCCCCCTTGGTGAATCTAATACCTATGATATCACTTATGTGCCCTTTTTTTTCCTGTTGGCATCCTGAATATTATCTAGGAACTTGAATATTCTGTAATACTTGGTAGTCTTGCTTTTGGGCTTAAAGCTTTTTGATTATTACTTATGGCAGAGGACGGAAAAAAATTAATGTACTTGAACATAATTTTAATTGTTAATGCCTATCCCAAGTAATCTTACTAACAATGTAAGTTTTCTGTGCACAGGAAATGCATAATCAGTAATATATGCATTGTTATACCCGTACCGGGTAGTGTTGTAACTTGGTTTAAAGAGTTGAGAATATCATTTAATGATATTCTTGTCTTTTTAATTTAAACTTGGTCTGCATTTGTTTTTTATACATTTTATGCATATTTTGAAAATGAGAGCAGACATAATGAGCATCATTCAGTAACAATAGCCATTATATACAAAATAAATTGTCAAATATGATGTTTGAAGTATTTTTTTTTTTTTTTGCTTCTATCTAAGAGATTCTGAAATTACAGTATCATAATGCAAATGCTTTATAAGAAATGTATGAAGCCAATGACTATAGTACTGTACTGTATATAACCTTACAGGGTCACTTTCAAGCAAAAATTAGCTTAAAGCTTTTTTAGGGAAGAGGACAAGATATTGTTTAAATATGAAGAAATGGCTTTACAACTGCATAAAATTGACAAGTGATGTAACATCAGATTTGTAGACATACCAGTGGATGTCAACCGAGCAAGTCGAGCATTTTATCACATGTGCCCTATCCAAAACAATATCCTCTATGAAAATTAACAATTGCTCATGTAGAAATACCTAATTCTTGGTGATAAAATCTTTGCCTATAAATCTATTAAAACTACCCCCACACAAGAATAGCCCATTTTCACTTGTCTTGCAATTATTAACATACAAATTCAAGATCGCCATGCTTAAGATAATGAGGATTTCAAGTTTCATAGAGAGCAGTGTGTCACACGCAACTCCGAAACAATTAACACAATTCTTTCGCAAAGAATCTCAATTCACAATATTGTATTTACAAAGTAAGGATACATTTAAAAATTCCATACAAGCCTGTAGAGTATCTTTTAGAACATTACACCGGTTTTAAATCATGCAATAGATTATCAGCATGAAATTAAAAGAATGTAATTACAATTTTTAAATGTGCGGCTTCTACTATTTCCTTGTATGGACTAGGCATTCAGCAGCTGGTGAATAATAATAATAAACGTTCATCCATTTACAATTTAGCAAACTCAAATTATTACTTCATTCAACACAATTTTGGTAATTCAGCAGACATCTATTAATTAAAAAAATTATATTTGTTTAATCACAGCCAGTACAGAGTAGGTAACGTTATCTGCTGCTTACCTCAATGCATGGCTGACATTACAAGTAATATTTTGTTATATAGATATTTGAAAAAAAAATAGCCTATAATTAATGTTAATTTATTACATCAAGAAATTTTGACAGTGCTTTCTTCTGTCTAACAAGTAGGTATCTTCAACACTCGAGCATGATGCTCCACCACATCCATAAATCTCGAAGTTCAAGAACAGTTAATACTTATTCAAGGCTAAAAGAAGCCTTTAAATTGATGCAGTATTGTAGAATTATCACTTAGTCAAGTGCCTATAGGCTAGGATTCCACCTTAAAACCTGTGATTGAGAACTGAAACTTGTTCCAATTACTGTAACTGCATTTGCTACCTTTATTCATTTTATCGATAAATTACAGTACTGGGTACAGTACTTCCAAACTTAATTGCCAATGTAAACAAGTATTTCACCATTGATCTTCATTTTCCCCATAAAACTTTTATGCAGCGTTTGAAATATTGGAATCAAACACAGGCCAAGATTTTTATGCCACAGAAAAAATGTTTAACGAGTATATAAAAAAACACGAGGCTTCGAGGCAAATCATTTAACCAAGGGTCGTCTTTTTCCCTCTTCTTCACATGACTGCTCCTTGTATTTACGAACTTCACTCATGTATTGTGACCAGGCATCGGTTTTTCCATCATCCGGCTGCGGCTAAAACAAAAGGGGAAAATAAAATGAAGCAAGTTATTTCTGAGGTTTTGAACTCATTCTTAAACCTAATCAATTTGTATTAGGACTTAAAACTGGGATTGATCCTCCCAATAAGCCTGCAACAGTTGTATTTGCTTCTCATAGTCCCACTTTGTAAATGTAAAACAGCATACAGAAGTATGATGGGGTTCTGACTTACGGCAAATTGCTGAAATCTTGATTTAATTTTATTGACCAAACTATTATTTATAAGAAGTTTGTATGGCTATAATACTTTAATTTAAAGAGGCATAAAAAATGTTACAGTAGTAATAAATATGAAAATGAACTTAAATATAATTGCATTAAAAAAATAAAAAAAAACTATTTGAAGTATTGGTACTGTAATCTTAAGAAAATTCTATCCAATATAGAAGCCAACTTTATTGCACCAAAAAAAAAATGTCCTTGTAAATGAAAGTGTATAATTAAGGCAGAAGGATAAAGTAAGAGTGTGGGTGGGTAAGGTACAGGATGGTGTATGGAGTTGTGTTCCACTAGGACTACTGTACCTCAAGATTATCCACTTAAGACCCTATTGGCTAGTGGGGGAAACACTGCTCAATTTATTCAAGTACTGTATAGATATCCTAAAACACTACCAGCCTGCAATGTACACTAATAGCACCCAAGGCTGCTGTGAAATAAGAACACTATCTTAATCTGCTTATTTAATGTATTTAAATCACTTTAATCTGGGTTATAATCTAAAAATATATAATTATCAATAGATGAAGGCATGTGCTTTGGATGGATAATAAACATGGTTAATATTTTAAGTGAATTCTAACTTTTCTCATGAATAAACCCAATTTGCATATTAGAAACTTGAAAAACCAGCACAATGTAATGAAGCACCTCTTTCCATCCTAGGTGAAAAACAATGTTACAAGACCATATGATTAGACTGCAGTAACAGGGAGGGGCACTCTGAGAATGATAAAGTGTGAAGAACTCAACAAGAGGGTGTAGATCTTCAAACCAGATTGGTGTCCAAGTAGGGAATACCTTAACTTACCTTGCAATGATTTCGAGGCTTGACGTCCCCACGGCCCGGTCCTTGACCAGACCTCGTTACTGGTCTGGTCAACCAGGCTGTTGGACGTGGCTGCTCGCAGCCTTAAGTATGAATCACGGCCTGGTTGATCAAATATCCTTTGGAGGTGTTTATCAAGTTCTCTCTTGAACACTGTGAGGGGTCAGTCAGTTGTGCCCCTTATGTGTAGTGGAAGCGTGTTGAACAGTCTCAGAGGTACAATAGGTACTCTTATTGAGTACCTATTGCACCTCTGCTTTTCAACAGGGGTATTTTGCACATCCTACCATGCCTTCTGGTTTCATGTGGTGTTATTTCTGTGTGCAGGATTGGGACCAGCCCCTCTCATATTTTCCACGTGTAAATTATTATATTAGATGGGAGAATTAATATTCTTTACATTCCTTTTTCATTCTATGTTAGGATTAGACTGCATTTTGTACGTGGTTTCCGTTTTTATATTTATATTTTTTGTTTGGGGTGACACCAGGTGACCAGAAACAGCACTAGACAGAATTTAAGTTAATGTATAAAAGGTAAAAAGATACCTGGAAGAATTGGATGTAACAAAAGCAGTAGGACCAGACCAAACAAGATATCACCATGGATACTGAAGAAAGCTGCACAGAGCTGGTGTTACTCATAACTACAGTGTTCAACATTATACTAAAGATAGGAGAGCTACTGGAAATCTGGAAGGCAAATGTAGTTCCAATATTCAAGAAAGTTGACAGTCATGAAGCACTAAACCATAAACTTGCATTATTAATATGTATTCCATGCAAGATTCTAGAACAGGTCATCAGGAAAAGGATTGCAGAATATTTGGAGTAAACTTTATAACAGGCATAACATGGCTTCAGAAGTATAAAAAAAATCATCGACTGGGGTTGGGTCACCAAAATAAAACGAGAAGATTTGGTAGACTGCATCTTCTTAGGCTGCCAAAAAAGATTTTGATACAGTCTCACAGAAGACTAATAAACAAGACAGAGCAAAGAGGGGATAGTAGGAAAGGCACTGGACTGGGTACGGCAGTACTTGACAGGTAACAAAGTGTCTTAGTCAGAGACGATATGAGAGGCTAGCAAGTGGTATTCCACAGAGCTGTTCTAGGACCATTACTGGTTTTAATTTATTTAAATGACCTCTAATTAAGGTTAGCTAAGTTCCCCTCCTCCTTGCACCTCTTTACAGGTGGCCAGCTTCTGGTCCCCCATTAGGCTTACAATGACTCACATGGGCCTAGTAGAATTCAACTGGGTAGAGCTATCTAGGTAGTTAGGACCAAGAGCTACCACTGAAAACCTCCCCCATGTTGTTGTCACCAGTTCTACCCTAAGCTATTATCATTGGTGTACCCTGAACCATTATCTATCGTCACCATAATATTCTGAACTATTATGAAATCAACTTAGCAAATGATCCATAATAGACCAGCCCTGTCACTTTTGTCAAGTTTCTTTGTGCAGGTTTAGTGTTAATGTTCATTTATATTATTTTTCAAGACTCGGTAGTATCATGTTTTGGGAAATTTGAGTAACTTATTGGAGAATAAACAGTAAACATTTTCACTGGAAAGTGATAGAAAGCCCAAAACAATTTCTCAAATAAATAAAATGATTAGACATGAAAACCAGCTACGAATGAATAAAAAGAACTTTACAAAGAGGAATGCAAAACGAGACTAACCTTCACAGTCTCTGGTTCTTTCCGCTGCTTCTTGACCATCCCAGTGGCCAGGATTCTCCCGCCCCGCCGTTTGCCCACCTGCGAAGAGACAAGCTCACCTCCATTAGACTGGGCCCACTTTGCCCCATAAGACTCACCAGTCCAGGGGGACCTTGACTTTATCCTCGGCAAGTTCTGCTGACTCTCTCTCTAGCCGTACCAGTGCCCTGTGGGAGAATCCAATTTGGCCGTGGCACTATGACTGCACTCTGGCCTTATGTCCCACTACATACAACCATCCAGCACAACACAAGCAAGTCTGCTTCTCCATCTCCGGGGCCCACCAACCCTCCTGATGTGTGTATCCTGAATTCTTAGCTATCCTTTTGATCAAATATATACAGTACATTATGGCTATAGATTTTAATCAAGTCAAACTACAACTAAGCAGTTAATTTTTCTGGTAATAACAGAAGCTAAGAATTAAATTTCTTTCCATGAAATTACTTTAGGGCATATCCACCATCAATTTCTTGTAACAAGATATCTTGGAAGCCTTAAAAGAAGTACTGTATATCATTTTGGGTGTTTCAACCTGTTGTACATTAGAAAAAAAAATTAAATAAAGAAATAGTTTTGAAAGCCAAGCTAAATACCTCTGCAAATTATCCTGCTAAACTAGAGGGATCCCTGCCAATTGAAAGACAAGACTTTCAAGTGGAAAAAAATATATGGCATGCACTGCTAATACTATACTGTGTGGGTGTGTGCGCAAACAGCTTTAGTGTCCTGGTTAAAAAAAAAAACGGCATTGAATGTAATGAAACACCATTTTCTGGGTGAGCCCCGGAGGCTCCCCAGAGCTATCAGGCTAATATGTTCTATATTAGACCAGGGCATTAGTCTATTAAGTTCAGCCTACCGGGGACCACGAGCCAGAACCAAGCCCCCTCAGAGAGGTTCAGGGAGCAAATGGCCTGGAAAACCCCCCCTGTGGTTGGGGGGTTCTTTATTTGGCATCGACTGGGGTTAGGCACCCAGAAAGGTAGACATAACAAAAACCCCACATGGTTAGAAAATTATAACTAAGTTTCTAAAACCCAATCAGAAATAGACAAAACCTATAGAGAGAGAGAGAGAGAGAGAGAAAATGCCAGAAAGAGCGCCAGGAAACTTCATACTGTTGCTGAGACAAAGTTTACAGGTGGGACACCACCAATGAAGCCACCAGATCACCATACAGATGGTGATAAACCCGCGTCAAAAAGACCAGATATGAAGTGCGGAGAAGACCAAACCAGCCGTGTACCGGTGTACCGAACCCTCAGAAACGACAGCCAAACTGCGGCAAACTTCCACACCATGCTGTGAGCCCAACGGAAGGACAGACCCCAACGCCCCTGGCCGGCCCTGGTGAGCACTGGTCACAAAGTCCTAGCTGAGAGACAATGCGTCCATGAACACATTGAACGAGGGCTTGGGCAGGCGTCAAGGCACTGAATCCCCAAAACCGGGAAGAGGAAGCTGGTGATACAGCAACCGACACAACCTGGTTGGTTGATGGGGTTCTGGGAGTTCTTCTACTCCCCAAGCCCGGCCCGAGGCCAGGCTTGATTTGTGAGTTTGGTCCACTAGGTTGTTGCTTGGAGCGGCTCGCAGGCCCACACACCCACCACAGCCCGGTTGGTCCGGCACTCCTTGGAGGAATAAATCTAGTTTCCTCTTGAAGATGTCCACAGTTGTTCCGGCAATATTTCTTACGATTGCTGGGCGGGTGTTGAACAACCGTGGACCTCTAATGTTTATACAGTGTTCTCTGATTGTGCCTATGGCACCCCTGCTCTTCACTGGTTCTATTCTGCATTTTCTTCCATATCGTTCACTCCAGTACGTTGTTATTTTACTGTGTAGATTTGGTACTTGGCCCTCCAGTATCTTCCAGGTGTATATTATTTGATATCTCTCTCGTCTTCTTTCTAGTGAGTACATTTGTAGAGCTTTGAGACGATCCCAATAATTTAGGTGCTTTATCGCGTCTATGCGTGCCGTACATGTTCTCTGTATTCCCTCTATTTCAGCAATTTCTCCCGCTCTGAAGGGGGAAGTGAGTACTAAGCAGTACTCAAGACGGGACAACACAAGTGACTTGAAGAGTACAACCATTGTGATGGGATCCCTGGATTTGAAAGTTCTCGTAATCCATCCTGTCATTTTTCTGGTCGTCACAATATTTGCTCCCTAAACGTTAGGTCGTCAGACATCATTATTCCCAAATCCTTTACATGCTGTTTTCCTACTATGGGCACATTTGATTGTGTTTTATACCCTGTATTATGTTTAAGGTCCTCATTTTTACAGTACCTGAGTACCTGGAATTTATCACTGTTAAACATGTTATTTTCTGATGCCCAGTCAAAAACTTTATTGATATCAGCTTGAAGTTTTTTCAATGTCTTCAGCTGAGGTAATTTTCATACTGATTTTTGTGTCATCTGCAAAGGATGATACGAAGCTGTGACTTTTATTTTTGTCTATATCTGATATGAGAATAAGGAAAAGCAGCGGTGCAAGGACTGTACCCTGAGGTACAGAGCTTTTAACTGCGCTTGGACTAGATTTTATATGGTTGACCGTTACTCGCTGAATCCTGTTTGACAGAAAACTGAGTATCCAGCGTCCTACTTTACCAGTTATTCCCATTCACTTCATTTTGCGTGCTATCACGCCATGGTCACATTTATCGAAAGCCTTTGTGAAGTCCGTGTATATCACATCAGCATTCTGTTTTTCTTCTAATGCCTCAGTGACTTTGTCGTAGTGCTCAAGTAGCTGTGAGAGGCACGATCTTCCCGCTCGAAATCCATGTTGGCCTGGGTTGTGAAGGTCATTGGTCTCCATGAAATTGGTGACCTGACTCCTAATCACTCTCTCAAATACTTTTATTATGTGCGATGTTAATGCGACTGGTCTATAATTCTTTGCTAATGCTTTGCTCCCTCCCTTGTGTAGAGGGGCTATGTCTGCTATTTTAAGTGCATCTGGTATCTCCCCCGTGTCCAAGCTCTTCCTCCACACTATACTGAGTGCCCGTGCTACCGGCACTTTGCATTTCTTTACAAATATTGAATTCCACGAGTCTGGACCTGGAGCCGAGTGCATGTTTTCAACTTCTCTTTCAAAGTCTAGTGCGCTCGTGTTGATATCAGTTATATTTACAGGGGTTGTTACGGACCCGGATCCAGCGTCCGAGCACGGAGCAGTGACGACCGCGCCATCTGTGGGTCAGCTCCCGAAACCCCCTCCAAATGGACGAAGACACCTGGTGAGGGCAAAGTGTACTGGCCACAAGGGCCAGTTTCCAGTCCTGTTCAGCTCACAACACAGCCGCTGCTGACCTCTGGTGAGGTGGTGCTCAGACGACAACGCCATCTATGGAGTGGATATGTCGGGCGTTTGTGTCTGAGCCTGTAAGTGAGGTGCTTTAGTGTGTCCCTGTTATTGATGACGTGTCTGCTTACAGAGTCGACCTGGGACTGCTGTAAGGGAAGTTGAGTCAGTCTACCCAAGGCAGCCGTCCCCATACCTTGTGCTTTGCTGCAGCAGCTGTGAGTCGCCTCCCGGAGGAACACTGTGGTGTTACCCTGCCTGTGAAGCGGCAGTGAAGGATTGTCGTACCCGGGACCGACTGCTGGAGACGATTAACCACTGGGGTATTGTAGACAGGAGAGTGATCTGTGGTATCACACGAGGCTCCTGACTAGGGCGCTACCCTAGTATCGCTCGTGGAGTGGCCTGACCAGCGTTGCTGATCCGGAACCTGCCAGCTGTTCTGCTGGACTTGTGGTTGACGGCCTCCACGGCGGTGCCCCCAGTGGAACTGTGTTTTGGCTGGCCTGTGTCAGGGGTAGACTCAGCTTGATCGAAGGATTCGTCAAGAGACCACGAGAGCACCGAGGACTTGGCACCGAGAGGATCCAGCGTCTCTTGTGAGAAGACGCCCATGTATATACTTCCCCTGTGTAGTGTTAATACCCCTCCCCCTGTGTAACTTTTATATATTACTTATTGGTGAAGGTAATTATAATCTTAAGTTTTTGCCTTTCTTTCCCTTCCCTTTTTATTTTACTTGCGTCACGGATCTCATCCCTTGAAAGCCACTACTGGCTTGGGGCCGGATACAACTTCCTCTAATAACATCAGAGTACGAACCCAGTTGCGACCCGAGAGGGCCGTAACAGGGGTTTGAATATCCCACATAAGAAATTGTCTGGATCTTCCACTTTCATGTTGTTTATTGGAGTGCTAAACATGTCCTCATACTGCTTTTTTAGGATTTCACTAATTTCTTTGTCATCCTCCGTGTATGAACCTTCACTTGTACAAATAGGTTCAATACCGGCAGTGGTTTTTGCTTTTGATTTCGCATATGTGAAGAAGTATTTTAGATTTTTCTTCATTTCCTGAATGGCTTTCTGTTCTAACTGCCTTTCTTCAGTTTGATATGAGTGTTCAATTTTCGCTCGATTTCTTCAATCTCCCTATTTATATTATTCCTTCTTTGACGGGAAATTCGTGTCTGCATAAGCATTTCCGTTATTTGTTTCCTGCGTTTATAGTGTCGTCTGCGTTCTCTTTCTACGTTGGATCTCTTTCTGGCTTTCCTCAAAGGAACATGTTTCAGACAGACTTGATATGCTTCCAAAGTCAGTTTTTCTATTCCTTCTGTAGGACTTGTATTACTTAGAACAGTTTCCCATGGAATGTTTGTAAGTTCCCTGTTTATTATCTCCCAGTCTATCCTTTTATTATTAAAATTGAATTTACTGAATAGCCCCTCTCGCTTTATCAACATTTTAGGTCTATTCTGAGTATTGATGGTCGTTTGCACTTCAATGAGCTTGTGATCTGAGAATGTGGTATCTGATATCGTAATGTCTCTGATAATGTCTTCATGTTCGTAAAGACCAGATCTACTTCACCGTACTGGTCTACCCAGTGGGTAGACCAGTACGGTGAAGTTCAAACTCCCACACGCAACTGCTCAAGCAACTGCCGAGTAACCCGGAATCCCCCCCCCCAGAAACAGCCGAGGCAGACCG